TGCTTTTAATTAAATTATGACTATTACTCCTCTTTCTCATCTGCCAGTGAAAAGTGACAGCTTGTCAGTTCCCGGGTTTTTAATATAGCTCTTTTAAATAGATATTCCTATTTATTATTGTTGTTGTTATTATTAATTGAATTTATATACCTCCCTATACCCAGAGGTCTCAGGGCAGTTCACAGAACAAAAAAACAAAAAACAAACTTAGGTCCATTACAGAATGTCTAGGAATTGGTTTATTTGCCCCTGTATAACTTGCTGAAATTAATGGCTTTGCTAGGAACTAGCCAATATAAATGTTATTAAAAATAAATTGTGTTTTCCCCCCTCTGGCTTGGAAGGGGAGCTCAAAGTAGATTGCAGTCTTTAAAAGTATATGTACAGTGGTACCTTGGGTTAAGTACTTAATTCGTTCTGGAGGTCCGTTCTTAACCTGAAACTGTTCTTAACCTGAAGCACCACTTTAGCTAATGGGGCCTCCTGCTGCTGCTGCTCTGCCGGAGCATGATTTCTGTTCTCATCCTGAAGCAAAGTTCTTAACCTGAAGCACTATTTCTGGGTTAGCGGAGTCTGCAACCTGAAGCGTATGTAACCTGAAGCATATGTAACCCGAGGTACAACTGTACTTCTTTTAAAATTGTGTTTGTAGAGATGTGAAGACCTGGAAAAGCAACCTGGAAAAATGAGGGTTTGTGTGTATAATTAAAAGCAAAAACATCCCCCTCCATTCCCCCAGGCTTCCTTCATATATCTTGACATTAGTATGCCACCCAGTAGCAAACATTCTCTGAGAGGTAACACAATGTAAAAGCCATTGAAAAAGTAACAAAAAGCAACAAGCAAAACTTATTACAATAAAAGCAGAAGAGAGAGAACCACCAAAGGTGTTTGCATGAAGTTTTTCACAAGACTTTCAGCCACATAGGGTGTCACCCATCGAACTACTGCCCCCTCTGCCCCATCCCATTCCATCTTGGAGGGTCTCCTGCCCCCAAACTGGGATTATCTGTGTGTGCAAGGAACAGAAGTGAAGAGAAGAGGCAGAAAAGCCCTGCCGTGATGCAAAATGCTTCCTCTGCTTTTCATCCAACCCAATACAAACAAAGCACATTTAAGAAAATAAATCAAAATCCACCAACTAGGAATATTTTTTTAAAAAGAGAACCCTAAATTATTTCCTAACTGTGTTTAAAAGGGAGGGGGAACCTAATATGTGACCAATATTCACCCCTGCCTGCTTTATTTAGGAGAGTTATACACCACTGTTCAGACTGCTGCAATTTGCCAGAGCAGTCAAAACAATGCCTGAATATACGCACAATGAAAATAACAACAAATAATGTTAAAAGGAGCAAAAATAAAACCATATTGCAAGATAAACTTCAGTACTTCGAAGACTCTGCGCTCCCACACAATGCCACCCAAGGGAGGAATACAACAAAAAAGACTGAATATACTATTATTATTATTATTATTATTATCTACTACTACTCCATATTTCCTTTAAATAGGAGCAGTGGGGATCTTGGCAGGCATCAAGTGTATGTGTATATGTCTACATGGAGTTCATGGGCACCACATTGGGGACCGAACCCCAAACAGTCAGATTCAGAACCTGATTGATTGTGACCGAATCACTCCTCTGGTGCACTGAGTCATTCTAAACGTTCTTCCTATGGTGTGAGAACTACTAATAGTTTATTAGCAATCATGAGGATGGAAGAATGTCTAAAAGACCACCCTGGGGCTCATTTATACAACTGTTAGTTCACATATAGCAAGCTGATAGCAAGCTCCTTCTACAAGTGGACGGATGACAGAATAAGGACCTTGGACTTGGTATTTTTCTAACGGCAATTCTTGAAACATTTTGCCTCTTCCAAGTTACTACTGGCATAAATCACAGGTGATGTTTTGTAGAGTAGACTTGTAGAAGGGAGAAATCACTTGCACTATAATGTTACATGAATGTTTATATTGGCACAGTAGACTTCCGTATTGTAAATTTGTTTCCCTACTGGACAGGTTGTCGGAGCGTGCTTTGGTTTTTTAAAAAAATAAAAATTATTGTTCCCTTAAGAATAGTCATAAATGGTTCTTCCAGTTTCATCATGTACTGCAGGTTTTGCTCAGGACATGTGCTAACTTTGTCTACTTGGAAAGGGATTAAATTGACAATAGTATTATAAATAAACTATTGTATGGGCTGTCATGATGTGTGGTATGATACCTTGTAGTTGTGAAGCTTTTATTGTTGGATCATCTGCACGCTTTTCTGCCGTTGTGTGTGTGTAAAATTTGGGGGTAAAATTAAGTGAAAGGGAACTGCATTATATTGTTCTAACTCCCAATGTAGGATTGCTCCTAGATGCTTTCAAACGTTTCCAGTTATTGATGGAAAAACGTAATTCATTACCAGACACAAAGAAGCTGAATTCACAGTCTGCCATCAATCACTGCAGCTGCACAGTCTATGTTTACAGTTCTGAAGAAGTCCAAGTTCATAGAACCATAAAATTGTAGAGTTGGAAGAGGGACCACGAGTGTCATCTAGTCTAACCCCCTGCAGTGCAGGAATCTTTTACCCAACATAGAGCTCGAACCCGTGACCTTGATATTAAGAGTCTTATGATCTAGCAACTGAGCTAAAACTTGTGCTTGGTGGGTGAAACCCCAGACTTCTTTAAATGTGCTGTTTTACCCGCGCTCGCACTCGCAGCTCTCTGCCCCTACCTGGCTCACTCACTCTCTCTCACTGCAGTGCTGGCTGTGCGAATCCGATCCGAGCCGCTGGGTCGCCGCCCACTGTGGAGGGGGTGGGTGCCAGGCGTGCGGTACGGAGAGAGAGTGAGGGACTATCTGGGGGAGGGACAGTGCAGCGGCCGCGCAGCGCTGAGCGCGGGAGAGAACCACACCCGACTGGACCAGGCAGCAGCAAGAAGAAGCTGGCAGTGGCGGCAGGTTAGGGGTTAGGGGGCGCAAATCACTTGCCTTGCCCCGGGTTAGGGGGCGCAAATTACTTGCCTTGCCCCGGGTGCTGACAACCTACGCTACGCCGCTGCTGTTTTACATTCAATCTTAGGTAAATTCAGAATAATTTCTTTGGTGCCCCTTGTGCGATTGGCATTTGATTCATTATATTATAGATACAAACCACCTAGCTTGTATCAGATTTTGAAATGGTGGTGGCAAGTTTCAAACCACATATTGAAGGCAAAGTCACTTCCTTTTTTTTAAAAAAAAACATTTTTATTAGGTTTTCCATTTCAACAATCCAATCAAATCACATTAAATATTCCAGATTATACATATACATATCAAATAATCCAAATATTCTGCCAAATTATAATTTTTTTGTTGGTACTTCCCATGCTTCAAGTTCAGGGGGGCTCTGATCATCTCATATCTCTGCTGCTTTTGATAGTCATTTCTAAGAGTTCCTTTAAATCTTCCTGTTGTTTTCCTTCTATCACGCCCTCTGAGTTGTTTCCACAAGCGAGTTGAAGTAAAATGATGTGTTTCTGTGTGGATTTTATGTGTATGATGCCCCTCTGTCCAGGCAGCATCCCCTCACACGCTGGTATTTCTGCCGAATCAATCCAAAAATCTTTTCGCTGCTGGCAGCCGCCATCTTCTCTCAATTCCGCAATGAAGTCACTTCCAATAGTTTTTCAGCCACTGGGAGCTGAAATTTTTGAGTGAAAGCATGCTTTAACACACACACACACACACACACACACACACACACACACACGTGGCAGTCCTAAGCAGAATTGCAGCCTACTGAAGTTGTGTCTTAAATAAAAACATACTTGTGTATGACAAGTTGTTTGCCCAGAAGTTACCATGAATTCCAGTTGGGTTCTTGTGGAAACAAGTAACTTTCTAAATGGTAGCAAAAGAATGAGATTAAAAAAATCTTATGCTCATGTTTGGGTTAATGTCTGTTAGGATTTTCACAAATAATGAGAAAACTAGGTTGTCGTTTTTGTGCTGCTTGGGAGATGAAACAGGCCCTTGTTAGCTTAGTGCTGCACCATATAATCCAAGCTAGAATAACCTCCTCTTAAACTATTGAGCATCTGAGGTCTACTTGTTTTAAAAAACAAACAAAAATAATTTGTTTTTACTCCGCCGTGGGGCAAAGGCTTTTAAAATTAAATTGAAATAATCTCCCTTCTATTCTTGTTACCATAGTAGGTCTATTCAAGTCAGTGTTGTTATCTTTGGCAGGCTCCTGCGGTTCAAAAATAATGTGGATATATTAGGCCTGGTTGTCCTCTGTTCTGCCATGGTTTTTCCTTTGGCTGATTTTTGTAAGTTATTAATTACCGGTTATATGCCGGTTCACTCAGAAATCCCACTGAGTTCAATAGGGATTACTCATGAGAAAACGTAAATGGGGCTGTAATCTTAGAATACAACCAGGCCAACTTGAGACGGACAAAGTGGAGACTTGAGTACCACTGGTACAGCAGAAGTTGTTTTTGTCCTTAAATGAATCCTGGCGCGAAGCCGCGCGGGGCTCCGGAGGGTAGCGCAGAGCTGCCTGCATTCCGAAGCCTGGTGCGCGCTGAAGAGTGCGCCCGGGCTTCGTGCACCTCTCCGCAAGCCTGGGGAGACCGGCGTGGCTCCCTAGGCTTGCGGATAGCAGGCTGTTATGGGGGCTGGGGTGGGGGGAAGCTCGGTTTCCCCCGCGCCTGCCCCGTGCCTGGGGAGGGAAATTTTTTCCCCTTTATTCCCCCCCCCAAAAAAAAATTAGGTGCGTCCTATGGGGCGGTGCGTCCTATGGGGCGAAAAATACGGTAGATAGTTCTTTCCATTGTTGCAGGTGAGCAGTGAGTATTCTGTGCGACTTCAGTCCCTCTTGGGCATATCTGATTTAAATTTATTGGGGGACTCTTGAAATAAGAAGTGTTAAGTTGTATTCTGTTCCAGTGATGTAATATTTGGCATTTTATTTCTCCTCCTTCTCCAACCCCCGCCCCCCACCCCAGAATCAGACCTCAACTAGCCAAAGAAAAGATTGAAGGATGCCATATCTGCACATCTGTCACACCTGGAGAACCTCAAGTGTTCCTGGGGAAAGATAAGGCCTTCACCTTTGATTATGTATTTGATATTGAATCCCAGCAAGAAGAAATCTATATACAGTGCATAGAAAAACTGATTGAAGGCTGCTTTGAAGGATACAATGCTACCGTGTTTGCTTATGGGCAGGTAAACTTTACGAACGTTTCAAAATTAATTGTTTGCTTTTCAGTGAATCTGTCAGATGGCTGTTGCGGCTGCTCGAGAGTAAGCAGGCAGGACTCCAAACCCGTATTTTACAGGTTTTATTTTGGCGCAAACTATTTACAGTGACGCGGGTGGTGCTGTGGGTTAAACCACAGAGCCTAGGACTTGCTGATCAGAAGGTCGGCAGTTCGAAACCCCGCGACGGGGTGAGCTCCCATTGCTCGGTCCCTGCTCCTGCCAACCTAGCAGTTCGAAAGCACGTCAAAGTGCAAGTAGATAAATAGGTACCGCTCCGGCGGGAAGGTAAACGGCTTTTCCGTGCACTACTCTGGTTCACTAGAAGCAGCTTAGTCATGCTGGCCACATGACCCGGAAGCTGTACGCCGGCTCCCTCGGCCAATAAAGCGAAATGAGCGCCGCAACCCCAGAGTCGGTCATGACTGGACCTAATGGTCAGGGGTCCCTTTACCTTTACCTTTATTTACAGTGAAGAGCCCCGAAGCTCATGTCTGGCTCAATCGCTAGCAGAATCCGGGAGTGGTCTTTTTTTTTGGACTTCCCCCAACCTTCCCCTTCCCTCTTTGCGCCTTAGGCTACTGCGCAGAATGGGCGATGGCAAGGGCGTGTTTCCCTCCTGTCCGCCTTGCCCAGGAGCGGTGTTAAGGCTCCCACAAGCATCCTCTGGTCCTTGCACCTCTTCCCCACTAGAGGTGGGGCTTTCCTCCTCCCCGGAAGAGGAACTGCTTCGCAAGATTTTCGGAGGCTCCCTGTAACACAACTCCCCTTCTATTCCTCGCCTCTAAGCTGATGGCAGTTCCCTGACAGAATCCAAACAATGTTCTGATTTTTTAAAAAAAATAATAAAGCTGCTCATAAGGAGTATTTGTAATAATTCAAGCAGGTATGCTTGAATTTCACCTTTTAGTAGAGGTGAAAACAAGTAGATTTCAACATGGGAAAATTATCAAGATTTCAAGGCTCATTTTTGGGTATATTAAAACGGTGGTGTATTTTTAAACAGGTGCAGAGCAGTACATTTGAAGCAGAAGGTGCTCAGAAGTGCAATCCTTCATCTTGAATTACAGTGGCCTTGAATTCTAATAGGTCTGTTCAAAAGAGGATGTGTCCAGCTCAGATTGGACTTTCCTCTTCACTTTTGTCCCTCCTCTCCCCATTTGGCATAAATGCTGTTTCAATATAGCCAGGGATTCTGAGAGCATTTTAGTATCTGGAGTTGCCACAAGTTAGCCACTCCTGCTCAAATGACTTGACTGATGGTTATCTCTACTATCAACATTGGGATATCAAGTTGTCTTCTTTTTATCTTTTCTTCCCGGCAGTCTCCTAACATCCAGGCACTGACCAGGCAGATCCACATTTGTCATTAATTAAATGTGTATACCACCCTTTATCTGAAGACTACAGGGCGGTTCAGTACAAAACGAGAGCTCAAAATACATAATAAAACAAAAACAAGTTATGCGTTTTCCTCCCAGGGGTTTTAAATTAGCTCCCAGTGTTTTGGGAACTGCTAGTTTAGGGCGGGCAGGCAGCCACATGTTGCCTAAGCAACTGTGTTGTTCTTTTGTTTGGTCCTGACGCTTTGACACTTGATGGACTACTAGAATGAGGAGAAGGTGAGTTTGGAGTTCCAGTGGGTAGCTGCCTTCTTAGAGCATTATTTTCCTGCAGTATGTTACTTAACACACCCTTTTCTTCGTATTAAGTTTAGCATGACATATTCTACCTAATAACCCAGTTTTCCTTTTTCTTTTTAACCACTGCAAAACGTTGGAAAATATGTTTTATGGATAGGAAGCCAGTCTAATCTTGCTTCAGCTAGGAAGACTCCTGGAATATTACCCCTTGTTTCCTGGGGGGCAGGCGGTGGTGGTTTAGATCCTCATCTCCATTCACTATGCATTTCTGCAGTCCAGATGTTTTTATGTCATCCAAGTGCTGTAGAGATCTTACTTTTTTCTTGAGACAACCTAGAAAGTTGTAAAGTGAGCTGCTGGAGTCAGAAGTCTTTTTGATCAGCAATAGAGTGTTTCTCATGTTATTTGACCCTAGGTTAAGATGTGTACAATGAACATTATTTAGTTGCACATTAATGCTGTTTGGTCTCTTAAATTTAGACAGGAGCCGGTAAAACATACACCATGGGGACCGGATTTGATGTTAACATAATGGAAGAGGAACAGGGCATTATACCACGAGCTGTAAAACACTTGTATAAATGTATTGAAGGAAAAACGCACGCAGCTATTCAACAAGGGGTTCCACCTCCAGAGTTTAAAGTGAATGCTCAGTTCTTAGAGGTAAGCTTTCATAGTAAAAATTATTTCCCTCATGTAGCAAAGATATCGGGGCATCCTAATCACAACATATTCAATTCTGATTGGCAAGGAGCTAAATTTTAAATCTGTTTTGTCAACATACAATTTAAATATTGCAGAAAAACCAATGGAATGAATTGTGGCAATTTATTGTTTATTGTGTAATTTAGGCAGGAAGAATGGCAGGGAAGTTGAGATTTGCTTATCTTACGTTAGAAATCTATGTTTTGGAACATCGTAAAATTATAGTGTTGCAAACTACTTAACACCCACACTAGGGTGGAGAGAGAGGACATTTTGCCCTTTTCACTAAAGCTCAGATGATTTATGAAGCCTGATTCAAAGCTTAGGAAACATGTTTTATTAATTGAGGTCAGTAAGATGCCCCCTCTCTTGGTGTTGTTGAATAAGGCCAATGAACTGTGTTTGCCACTTTTACATTTGCAATTCTAATGGGAGTTATTTTTTCAATGCCCTTCTGAGTTAGGGTTTAGCAACAGAAGGGTAACCAAGTTACAGGTGCTTGAATTCCGACGCAGGTAATTATCGCTGGACTGCTGTTGGCATTTCTGCCAAAATATTAACCAAATACATTATGGAGTTGGACTAGTCTATACCTGTTGCTCTTGACCTAAGGGCACTGGATTTAAGCTTTCTGGCTAATATTTGTCCAGAGGAACAAATCGCAAACGGCACAGTATAAAGGCAGCCCCTTAGTTCCCCTTAATTTGGACTTTGTTTTCCGAACTCTTTGATAGTTAAACAGTTGCTTCCCCCCCGCCCCGGGTCCTGATAGTTTGTAAGCAAAACAAAGCCATTTTTAGTGACTTTGGACTTCCAGTGCATCTTCAGCTGATAATTGTAGAATGTTTATACTTACTATTTCCAAAAATAGATTCTATGTATTTTAACAAAAACGTCTGTCATAAAGTGTTTCTGTGATATATTTTAAAATACAGAGAGGTGCAAATCACTTTGTCCAGAAAAACAGGCCTTGGAGGAGTGCTTAACTTTTTTTCATTTAAAAAAGCATTTACAGTGCTGCCAATTTTTTTTTAAAAAAGAGGCAATCTTCATAGAAATATGGGCAAAAAAGGAAGAAGATGAAGTTGTATCCCTATCAGTAGCTAACAGGTCTGACAAGTTTAAGTGCTAGTTAGATGATATCATGAGTGATGCAATCTCTTTACTTCTAGGAACCAAGTATGTGTAAAACAATATCCTCTTTCACCATAAAACACTAAATATATCCAAGCATTCAGTTTTTAGATACTTTTCATTGCACTGACAGATTAAACTGGTGCCAGCTAATTATGCAGTATAAACCCTGCAGAACCGTGTTTTCAGTATTGCCTTAGAACTGCTAATTGGAAGAATCCCCAAATCAAAACGATCTTTCAAGTGTCTCATTCCGTTGTCTGGAAGGTCCTGGTCCGCATGTAACATGCATGGCGAATCTGCTTGTTGAAAGTCAGAACAAGATTGCATTAAATGCCTCTCTGAGGGTTAGCGAATAAACATTGGCCAGGAACGTTGTTCCGTTATGCAGTCGGTGTGTGGTTATGGAAATTCTCCTTCTGCTTCATTTCCCATGCAAAGGATGCAAAGAGTATTTGCATCCTTGCACCGTTCTCTGGGGAACATGCATACTGTGTATATAGAAAGATTCAAGAATACAGTGGTACCTCGCAACGACAAAAAACTCGCTAGACGAAAGGGTTTTTTGTTTTTTGAGCTGCTTCGCAAGACGATTTTCCCTAGGGGCTTGCTTCGCAAGACGGAAAGGTTTTGCAAGTTTGTTTCCTTTTTCTTAACACCGTTAATACAGTTGCGACTTGACTTCGAGGAGGATTTTTGAAGCTTTTCCAAAACTTTCCCGACACCGTGCTTCGCAAGACGAAAAAAATCGCAAGACGACAAAACTCGCGGAACGAATTAATTTCGTCTTGCGAGGCACCACTGTACAAAGGATCTGAAGAACCTCACTGAAAGCATTAGTCCTGCTGGCCACATGACCCGGAAGCTGTACACCGGCTCCCTTGGCCAGTGAAGCAAGATGAGCGTGGCAACCCCAGAGTCGTCCACAACTGGACCTAGTGGTCAGGGGTCCCTTTACCTTTACCGTGCCTCATTGTGACCACAATAGTGTTCTGACGTTGTTTCCTCCCATGCCCTTCAAGAGGGTTTAGTTCTCACGGTCAGATACTATCCTGTATTCAAATCAATGTGGCTTCCCATGTTCAGTTTGATTATTTCTCAGGTAAGAGGTAGAGAGAGCAACATGGAAGCAAACCTCTGCCCCCTCACCCCCAATACTGCTGTGGGTCAAGTGTAATAAAGTGGTACCTCAGGGTACATACGCTTCAGGGTACATACGCTTCAGGTTACAGACTCCGCTAACCCAGAAATAGTGCTTCAGGTTAAGAACTTTGCTTCAGGATGAGAACAGAAATCAGGCTGCGGCGGCAGCAGGAGGCCCCATAGCTAAAGTGGTGCTTCAGGTTAAGAACAGTTTCAGGTTAAGAACAGACCTCCGGAACAAATTAAGTACTTAGCCCGAGGTACCACTGTATCTTAATAGGTCCTGTATTTTTTTGGAAATTTGGCTCTGCCAAACTTTCACCAGTTGTTTCAGAGTCAATTTAGGAAAACTGGAGATGGGAGACACTTATAGAATAAAAATGGAGAGAAATGTGGAATAGTGCAACTTGCTCCCCATTCTGCATTGAGAAGCAACTTTTTGCAGATAAGCAAAACGCTCAAGAAATTTGAGGGGACAAATGTGATGATACCCCAGGCTTGGGCCGGAGCTATGGCACCAACACCCTCCCACCCACCCCTTACTTGCTATGGGTGGTAGTCAATGCTACTCAGAGTAGACCCACTGATGTCAATGGATGTGACTAACTTACATTAATTGATTTCAGTTGGTCTATTCTGTGTAGGATTTACTTAAATATAAGCCTGTGTCATTTTCTAAGTACTGCTCAGCCTGCTGTAACATAGCATATCCTTCTCCTGCTCACAATGTCCTGAACTATTTTCTGTAATTCCATTAGCAAGCTTTGTCATTGTTGGCCAGTCATGTTTCTGGAGAATGACTATACCCAGAAGCCATGATAGGGAAAACTGTGTCTTAATTATTTTGGTCAAACCACAGTACATCTTGAATTTTGTGTAAATTATATTTTCCTTGCTGATGTTGGCCTCTTTTTTCCTTTCAAATTAGCTTTACAATGAAGAAGTCCTTGATCTCTTCGACACAACGCGTGACATGGATTCAAAGAACAAAAAATCAAACATAAAAATCCACGAAGATTCAGCGGGTGGAATATACACAGTGGGGGTCACAACACGGACTGTAAATTCAGAATCTGAGGTAATATTTTTATTCTCAATGAAAATGAGATGGCTTTTGTAAAACATACTACTGTGTGTGTGTGTGTGTATGTGTATGTGTGTGTGTGTGTATCTGTGTCTATTTTTCAATATAGATACAGATATAGATATTCTTCCTTTCCACTCAGGAGCTCAAGACGGCAGGCATGATTTTGCCCTCCCTCTTCCCTATCTGTTATGTACTGAAGTTCTCACCCTGGGCCAGCAGGGGGATACTGTAGATAGTTATGCAAATAAGGGATCGAAAGTGACGTTCAGTGATTGGATAGTTTTAGAAAATTGTTACAGTTACGTTGTACTGGAGCTCTATATAAGCAGGCTGACTGAACCCTTCAGTTCAGTTCTGTTCTGGCCTGTGAATAAACAAGAGCTGTTTGAAGAATCGCTGTGTCGTCTGATATGTTCACCCACAACTTAACGCTATCCTTTGCAGCAACCCTGAGTGGTAGGTTAGGCTGAGAAACAGGGATTAGTGCAAGATCACTGGCTGAACTTGGAGCTCATAGTTATAGTTTCAGTCTAACTGCTACACCACATTGACCCTTGCCCAAGAACAGCCTTAGTAATACAGTACAGGTGACTCCCCACTTACACGGGGGTTACATTCTAGGCCCCCGCATGCATAAGTGAAAGAGATAAAAGGCAGGCATAATTGCTGCTATCTTTGATTTGTAAGATGGGGGTGGAGACGCTCCTTCAGGTATACTGGACCGAGGCCGTTTAGGGCTTTAAAGGTCAGCATCAGCACTTTGACTTGTGCTCGGAAATGTACTGGGAGCCAATGTAGCTCTTTCAAGACCAGTGTATGTGTGTAGGTTTAATTTCCGCCATATATCCTTTCCCCCACCATTTTTACAGATGATGCAATGTTTGAAGCTGGGCGCTTTATCTCGAACCACGGCCAGCACTCAGATGAATGTTCAGAGCTCCCGTTCACATGCCATCTTCACTGTCCACTTGTGTCAAACGAGAGTTTGCCCTCCAATTGATGCGGTATGTATTATGCTATTTTTGTCTTGGAAAAAATCAATAACACTGCAGCGTGTGTGTACCCAGGAGGAATAGATCAAGGGAAGTAATAGTGCCACTGTATTCTGCTCTGGTCGGACCTCACCTGGAGTACTGTGTCCAGTTCTGGGCACCACAGTTCAAGAAGGACACTGACAAACTGGAACGTGTCCAGAGGAGGGCAACCAAAATGGTCAAAGGCCTGGAAACGATGCCTTATGAGGAACGGCTAAGGGAGCTGGGCATGTTTAGCCTGGAGAAGAGGAGGTTAAGGGGTGATATGATAGCCATGTTCAAATATATCAAAGGATGTCATATAGAGGAGGGAGAAAGGTTGCTTTCTGCTGCTCCAGAGAAGCGGACACGGAGCAATGGATCCAAACTACAAGAAAGAAGATTCCACCTAAACATTAGGAAGAACTTCCTGACAGTAAGAGCTGTTCGACAGTGGAATTTGCTGCCAAGGAGTGTGGTGGAGTCTCCTTCTTTGGAGGTCTTTAAGCAGAGGCTTGACAACCATATGTCAGGAGTGCTCTGATGGTGTTTCCTGCTTGGCAGGGGGTTGGACTCAATGGCCCTTGTGGTCTCTTCCAACTCTATGATTCTATGATTCTATGAATATCCTTTATTAGAGTAATACCTGAAACTGATTTTCTTGGTCCGCCTTCTGATGTTATACTGATTGGTACGGGAATTGTTGCAGTGTGATGTTAGAATAAAAGGAGGTCCTAGTATTGTAGTTCCTGCTCATACCACCATTGCTGTTTTCGTATGGAGACGGCTTCAATATTGGCTCTTTCCAAATAGCCCATGGCCTCTCAAGGATTCTGGTGGTCCAAGAAAGAAACAGCAGTGTTGCAGTAATAAGATACGAGGCCTAAGTAATTCAAAGGTCCACCTACGTTTAAACAGTGTTGCCATCCTTCCATTTATAATATTTAAATAACTTACACTTAAAATCAAATTGATTGAGATGTCCACCTGTTCCCATAGCAACAGATCTGCCTCGGCTGCTACAGGCTTCAACCATCCTGCACTGTAGGTCTTGGGTCTAAATAACTCAAATATTTGACAGTTACATTCCCAAATATTGTGGGGTTAGAGTTTTGTTTTGTTGGGGAAGTTGAAAGTGGTGGTGTGCGTTTAAAGTTGTGTGTGTTTGTGTAAGCTGTGGGGGGATATCTCTGTAAGGAAAGTATAGTTACACTTAAAACTTTCACAGCCTAAAGCTTAGTGCACTAAGAAATAATTGGGCCCTTGTTCTTGATGTGTCTGGTGTCTTTATAGGAGTTCTAAAGGTTCTAAATACTATATTATAAAGTGTTATGTTAAGAATAGGCAAGTACAAAACGCTTTTGTTTTAAATTACAAACATTGTGACCATGAGCAGTATCAGTCCTTCAGTGTTTCAGCTTCCTTTTTAAAAGCGATTTAATTTGATTTGAAAACATGCGAAGTATGCTTATTAGAAGGATTTGCTTCGCTTCCAAAATATATTATCCATCCATGCATGTAGACATATGTTTGAAGATGTGAACCTTGGTTTTAATTGGCTATAAAATAGAAAGTATGCATTAAATGAAAATAGGGTGGTCACAGGAGCGGAAAGTCTTTGACTTGCTTTCTGCTGAGTTAACAGAAAAGAAAGAAAGCTCTTTGCCATTATGAACATATTTTTCTCAAGCACTTTTGTTTATATACTGGAAATGTTTCAGCTACGTGAAAACTGTAGTGTGCTTATGACGACAGATGTCAGGATGATTTATATTTTTGTCATTTATCCTCTTGAGTTCTGTACAAAAATCCTTTCACTTACAGGAAAATAATTCATGCTAATAACAAATGTTTGCTAAAAATTTCATTGTCAGTGGCAAGATTGTAGATTCTGAAACCTATTAATTGTTATGGAGAAGTGGTTTATGAGGTTATACTTTTATTGCCTGGAGTTTGATCCTTCTCTTCTGAAACATTAATGAACAACTCACATTTCCCCCGTCTACTGGTAGCTGGAAATATTACAGGGTCTCTTTTTCCTAAGGATGGAATTTTTTTTAAGAGTTGAAAGTGGTTTGGAAGAGTCCCGCAGTTGCTTCAGATGCAATAGACATTATAGCTTTTTGAAACAATGCAAAAACTTATTTACCCAGAGGCAAGAGTGGGTCACATGTGCAAACTGTAAAAATTATTTTAAATGTAAACCTTCAGCTTAATATATGGCTCTAGCTTAGGACTCCGGTTAATGAGGATAATAGCTTCTTTATTCTAGTTTATCATCTAGTGAATGCTGTCTGTAATTCTCTGGGAGCAGGCGAAAGCATAGAGGCAGTTGTATTCTTTTCCCTGCCTCCATTTCACTGTCTCTTCTTCTGCAGAGATTTCTAAAACTTGCTTTCCTAAAGAGGATTTTGATGGGCCCACATTTGCTGTTCTAGTTTTCCTCTCTTTTTGCCCTGTGTTGCTGGGAGCATGGCTTAAATAGGGAGAGGCAGTTTGTTGGTCTTTAAAAACACGTCACTCTCTTTGCAGCCTCACCGGTCTTCTTTCTTCACCACAGGACAACATGACAGATAACAGAATGATATCGGAGTCATCTCAGCTAAATGAGTTTGAAACCCTTACTGCTAAGTTTCATTTTGTGGATTTGGCAGGGTCCGAACGATTGAAGCGCACAGGGGCCACTGGGGAGAGAGCAAAAGAAGGCATTTCCATCAATTGCGGACTAGTAAGTACTACCTTGACAGCATTTTGATCCTCCTCGTTTCCTAAAATCATTACATACCACCTTTCATTACATAAGAAATACCAAGGCAGTTCACCAGGCAGTAAGAAGGAGCGTCTCCATCCCCATCGTTCTGCCCGGACACTGAGGTCCAGCACTGAGGGCCTTCTGGTGGTTCCCTCGCTGCGAGAAGCCAAGTTACAGGGAACCAGGCAGAGGGCCTTCTCGGTAGTGGCACCTGTCCTGTGGAACGCCCTCCCATCAGATGTCAAGGAAATAAACAACTACAGTGGTACCTCGGGTTACATACGCTTCAGGTTACAGACTCCACTAACCCAGAAATATTACCTCGGGTTAAGAACTTTGCTTCAGGATGAGAACAGAAATCGTGCAGCAGCGGTGCACTGGCAGCAGGAGGCCCCATTAGCTAAAGTGGTGCTTCAGGTTAAGAACAGTTTCAGGTTAAGAACGGACCTCCGGAACGAATTAAGTACTTAACCCGAGGTACCACTGTATCTGACATTTAGACGACACCTGAAGGCAGCCCTGTTTAGGGAAGTTTTGAATGTGTGACATTTTAATGTATTTTTAATCTTTGTTGGAAGCCACCCAGAGTGGCTGGGGAAACCCAGCTGGATGGGCAGGGTAGAAATAAATTATTTTTATTATTATTATTATTATTATTATTATTATTATTATTATTATTATTATTATTATTTATTGTTGTTAAGACAATGGGGGGGAATACAACAATAAAATCCATAATGGCAAAACAGGAGTTAAAATAGCAATATCATTTACAGCAGGCAGAAATGCCAGGAACTGATATTAATTGGTCAGGAAATACCCAGGTAAAATAGGTACATTTTTAATGGAAGAGCCCCAGAGTTAGTGCCAACCTGTTTTCCAAAGGGAGCAAATTCAACATGGTAGGCACCAGCGAGGAGAAATTCCTTCTCTGTACCACAGTGAGATAGATGTCTGCAAGCCATGTCATGTTTAATAGGGCCTCCCCCAGCTGTTTATGGCCTCATAAGCCAATACTAAAACCTTAGAAGCATCCCTGAGGCAGAAATATACACAGGACCAAGGATTGCAGCGCTTGGATCACATTCTTGCCAATTATTTCAAAGCTATGTGGGGGGTGTAACTAGTCAACTGTGGCTTGTTTTTAATGTTTGTCCCACTTTTTAATGTTTGCCCCACTGTTTGCATTCTACCATCACGCCATTACAAATGGACAGCTCTTTAAATGTGCCACGGGACTCTTCATTTAGTTGTTGCAGTTTAGCCCGGCCGTCATGTCCCTATAATTGAGATAGTTGATGAAACAGGAATTGCTTCCCTACAGTATAATAGCTGTACTGCAATATAGAAGAGAAGAAGAGGAGTTTGGATTTGATATCCCGCTTTATCACTACCCTAAGAAGTCTCAAAGCGGCTAACATTCTCCTTTCCCTTCCTCCCCCACAACAAACACTCTGTGAGGTGAGTGGGGCTGAGAGACTTCAGAGAAGTGTGACTAGCCCAAGGTCACCCATCAGCTGCATGTGGAGGAACGGGGAAGCGAACCCAGTTCACCAGATTACAAGTCTACTGCTCTTAACCACTACACCACACCTGGGCTATAAACACTGCATTCCCATAAACGTTGACTTTGACTTGCTATTGGAGCTAGCGAAATTACACTGTCTGACATTGGAGCAAAAAATGTTGATATTAAATTATACTTGGGGGTTTTTTGGGGGGGGGGAGTGTTGTTGCTGCTTTTTTGTTTTACAAAACTAAGCCTGAAAGACATTCAGAGCCAACTCTGTACTGGGGAAAACGGTTCTGTACATAATTACTTTGCCTGGGATGCAAAGATGGACCATTCCATTTGCAGGAGAGAACTGCGTGAAGCTTTGCTGGCAGTTTCCCTTGCATCAAGTCTTGTGACTAAATGGGCAACTCATTTCAAAAATAGAACAGTGGCTTGCGTCTTTGACAGTGAAAGCTACCGCAGTGGAAAAGGACAAAGTATAGTTCTGCTGACTGTACTGTTCTCTCCCTCACATTTTCTGACTCTGCACAATGCTGCTGATTCTGATTGTGTCAATACTTACGTGGGTTTTGGGTGGTGCTGGTTTTTTGGGGCAGAATTTTATTAAAACGAATGTTGCATATTTTATAGCTGGCGTTGGGCAACGTAATAAGTGCACTGGGAGATAAGAGCAAGAGGGTCACTCACGTACCATACAGAGATTCAAAATTAACACGACTGTTGCAAGACTCCCTTGGAGGAAACAGGTACAAGCAAATTTTTTTATTCAAAACCATGTTTGAAAGAGATGTCACAAGAACTTTGATTAATTTGCTGTTGATGGAACTAAAGTGTATTAGAATACAATAAAATAAGAACCACACTGGCGCTCTCTCTCTCTCTCTCTTTCGTATAAAAAGGTAAAGGTACCCCTGCCCGTACGGGCCAGTCTTGACAGACTCTAGGGTTGTGCGCCCATCTCACTCTAGAGGCCAGGGGCCAGCGCTGTCCGGAGACACTTCCGGGTCACGTGGCCAGCATGACATCGCTGCTCTGGCGAGCCAGAGCCGCACACGGAAACACCGTTTACCTTCCCGCTAGTAAGCGGTCCCTATTTATCTACTTGCACCCGGAGGTGCTTTCGAACTGCTAGGTTGGCAGGCGCTGGGACCGAGCAGCGGGAGCGCACCCCGCCGCAGGGATTCGAACCGCCAACCTTTCGATCGGCAAGCCTAGGCGCTGAGGCTTTTACGCACAGCGCCACCCGCGTCCCTCGCTTTTGTATAGCTGAGCTGAATTAATAGAATTGGTTTTTCTGCCTCAGCAGAGAAAACACAGTAGCACATTTCACCTTTTTGCTCTGGGTTGCCTGGAGAATGATGCAGCCCCATAAATAAAAGAGGAAATCACCACTTACCCCTTTTAAAATCCAGTAGCACGGACAGAAAAAAACTCACAAGGGAAAACAAACTAATGTAGAGCACAAGTAAATGATCTGTTTAATAGGAATACTTACTCTGAACCCTTTAGAGAGACAGTAATGCAGTTAAGCCTCATATGGATGAAAGCTTAAGGGAGTGGTTTTCCAGTAAAGGCTTCAAAAACAAGGCCATTTAGAAGTCAAGAGTTTCCTTGGATTTGTTGTGCTGTAGAACTCTTGCAACTTAATGAGAGAATGTGCAGTTGAGAACCCTCAACTCGGCCAGTTTATTAAAGAGTTAGTAAGCTTTGCCACAGGAATAGCATGGGAATTCTCCTTTGGGAATGCCTACTGTATACTTTCCCCCTTAATTTTGATCCCATCCTCCCATTACATCCTCCTGCAACTTCCAGATTCTTTAGCATCTTGGTAGCCCTCCTCTGTGCACGTTCCAGCTTGTCAATGGTCTTCTTAAATTGTGGTGCCCAGAACTGGACATAGTAATCCAGGTGTGGTCTGACCAAGGCAGAATAGAGCAGGACTCTTCACTTCCCTTAATAGGGACACTAGACTTCTGTTGATGCAGCCACGCCCCTTCTGATACTGTACAATAATCTTACAGTTGTGCAGTAATAACAATTAGGGATGCATTGCAACATTCAGTGTTGATCTGTGTGTTGCCTTTCAGCTAGATCCGCTGTTTTCTGTGCACATACATGGGCAAATGATTTGTAGTATCTTCTTTCAGATAGTGTTTTCCATTAGGTTCCATTGGACGTAACAGAACTTGCAAACCATTATCTTGAAACTGAAGCTCCCTTGTGTTTTCACCGTTCTTAATTGCTTAGTTTTGGAGCATATAGTGGCTTAAAAGCTCCCCTTTCATGCTCATTGGGTCACTCTAGGGTTTGCAGACGAGAGGCCCTGCTGCAGAAATATTAACAGGTCCCCACTATCGCTACACACCACTGATTGTACAAGCAGCCTCCTGCCTGGTCAATCTTTGGCTCCAACCCAATGGCTCCAGTGAAGTGAAACTATGCACATGCTTGTGATTTCTTATTTTTCCACTGTAGCCACTGAAAGAACAAGCTGCTTTTGAAAGATGGCTGTTCAGTTCAGCAGTGCAAGTGCCTTTGGCGGACATGAAAATAAGTACATTGCTGTGCTAAACCTTATTCATGCATCTAAATCTGCTGAATATTGACCACATTCTATTGGTATACACTGCAAAGAAGCCTAATCTAAAATAACCCTCAGACGTACTACTGTATTCAGAATACAAATAAGCATTGATGTTATAGAAGCCTATTTGATTATTATTTTTTAAAATATAAATGCAGAGTGAAAGTATTTAAAGTAAACGCAAGAAGGCAGTCTCCGTTTCAGAGACTGTAACTTGCAATAAGACAAATTCATGGTGTTGTGTAATAATTCAGATGGGTAACAATTTTCATTCATTCCTTAGTTAAGCTATAGTATATTTTTGCTGGAGAGGAGGGTGGAGGATGTTGGGAAAGGTCACAACTTACTATTCAGTGATAGCGACAAAATGAATTGCAGTGTAAGCAAAAAATAAAAACCAGAGAGACATAATAGCAGGGGCGGGACGGCGGCAGGGGGACTAGAACAAACAAAAGATCCTGTGGAAACGTATTGGTGACTAATTCCACAAGGTGGCATTTCCACACATAATTATGCACTTTCATTTGCACGCTTTGTAATCTGCTACTAAAATCGGAGAGCATTTTAATGGTCAGCACTTCGGATTATGTACAAAACGACATAATATTATGCTTGTGTTTTGTTCTCAGCCCAGTTAACGTTCTAAGAGTTAACCTACTGCTGCCCATATGGTGTTTTGCTAAGTACCGTATTTTTTGCTCTATAAGACTCACTTTTCCCCTCCTAAAAAGTAAGGGGAAATGTGTGTGTGTGTTATGGAGCGAATGCAGGCTGTGCAGCTATCACAGAAGCCAGAACAGCAAGAGGGATTGCTGCTTTCACTGCGCAGCGATTCCTCTTGCTGTTCTGGCTTCTGAGATTCAGAATATTTTTTTTCTTGTTTTCCTCCTCCAAAAACTAGGTGCTTCTTGTGGTCTGGTACGTCTTATAGAGTGAAAAATACGGTATATTCACTTCATTGCTTGAAGCTTCTTGCAGATATGCCTGTGTTTAAAATATTTTGATAGGATCAGATAAGTGTGCAGGCCTTCAAGATACAGCTATACTTCCAGCAGCTTCTATAAAGAAACAAAAATAGGTCAGTTTTGGTCTTTTGCCCGAGATGAAATTCATCAGCTGATACACTCGTGATTTTCATTTTGTTTTGTGCAGCTGTGTTCACCATTGTGCCTTGTTAAAATGCTGCGAGCTGCAACTTTCATTTATTTATTCATTTAGAAAGAACTCTAAATGATTATTAGTAAGGTGCAAATAATTTCTGGATACATTTCACATACCTTTGGTTGGGAACAATAAAAACAGTTTTGCTTGGTTTTAAAGCTCTGACGAAGCATGTTAGTGCATTTATCATCTTTTGTTTATATGTAGCAGTGGCACACAGCGCTGCCCTTGCTGTTTTGCTTCCGTTGATAAAACCTGGACTGTTTTTAACCTGCAGCCAAACCGTCATGATCGCCTGCGTAAGCCCCTCAGATAGAGATTTCATGGAAACCTTGAACACTTTGAAGTATGCCAACCGGGCACGAAATATCAAGAACAAGGTGATGGTTAATCAGGACAGGGCTAGCCAGCAGATTAATGCTCTGCGGAGCGAGATCACGCGGCTCCAGATGGAACTCATGGAGTATAAAACGGTAATACTCATTATAATGTTTTCCTCAGTAGTCCTTGGCAGCTACATTAAACCATTTTGCATGTCCAGGTTTGTTCCTCCTCTCCACCTCCCTCCATGGTAAAGAGAGGCATGTGTTCCTCATATAATTGATTTTTTTTAAATTAAAAAACACCCCCATATGCTTCAGAGTGGAACAAGTGGGTACTTGGTTGACACCAGCAAAGTTTAGTTTACATTCTGGAAACTCCAATGTTTCCTCTAAGCCAGATAAGCTAATTCATATCAGTTTCTGCTAGCTCCAGACACCTAAGTAGCCATTTCCTGACAGACAGAGCTTGTGACTTTTTCCAGCTATGGGTCCACACTGTCCTTTCTGCTCTTGGCAAAAACCTGATTAAAAATATCAGGTTTGCAGGGATATGCTTCGCAAGCCAGTGAAATAAGAACGACACAGGGGAGAGAGTGAATCCTGCTGTATGCTATTATTAATTTGTCTCTGAAAATCATAAATCAGGCATGGCCAAACTTGGCCCTCCAGATGTTTTGGGACTACAGTTCCCATCAACCCTGACCACTGGTCCTGTTAGCTAGGGATGATGGGAGTTGTAGTCCCAAAACATCTGGAGGGCCAAGTTTGGCCATGCCTGTCACAAATGATCTGGCATTCCCACCACATATGTAATATACAGTGGTACCTCGGGTTACAAACACTTCGGGTTACAGACTCCGCTAACCCGGAAGTAGTACCTCAGGTTAAGAACTTTACCTCAGGATGACAACATAAATCGCGTGGTGGCACTGCGGCAACAGCAGGAGTCCCCATTAGCTAAAGTGGTATCTCAGGATAAGAACGGTTTCAGGTTAAGAATGGAATTAAGTTCTTAACCAGAGGCACTACTGTATGTGCATTTGTGGCACATTTGAAGCCAGCAAACCTCTGGGTAGATTTTATGTAACCTGGCCAGAATTAAGGACCAGAGTAGTAACAGTTTATACTAAACCTCGCTTGCTGATAAACTTATTGGAGACCTTCTCACAGAGCCCCAAATCTTGACTCATTTCTGCTCAGAAATGCTAAAATCCAGGACTTGTGTCTGATGTAGTGCTTTAATCAGTGTAAGGATTCACTTTTGCGCAGCAGAGCTCACACTCTCCTTCCCCCACTTCCTTCTAAATCTGTTCCAGTGGTTCCCCAACCTCTACAGCAGAATTGGGGATGGAGGGCACAAACACAAATCCTTGCACTAATGGGTTTCTTTTTCACCCTGCTTTAGCCATCAAGTCATTTTACTTAGATCCATTAACAATGTGTAATTTGTGGTTGTCTTTATCATCCGTTAGGGCAAAAGGATTATTGATGAGGAAGGTATGGAAAGCGTTAATGACATGTTTCATGAAAATGCCATGCTGCAAACAGAAAACAACAACCTCCGAGTCAGGATAAAGGCAATGCAAGAGACTATTGATGCACTGAGAGCCCGAATCACACAGCTTGTGAGTGATCAGGCCAACCAGGTCCTTGCCAGAGCAGGTACTGTGTACTCTTCTCACTGAAAAATGTTGTATGTATCATACTCTGTCTACAAAGGCTCTTGGCCATTGTTCAACTCCTTGTTTCACAAGTATATGGGCTTCCTCAAGTTAGTAATGCACAGAGGCAGAGGGAGTGCAGACTTCAGGTTTGTGAGATCTACTAGGTTGGGTTGTGTGTGTGTGTGTGTGTGTGTGTGTGTGTGTGTGTGTTTTACTGGAACCCAAAGGTTTGCCAACTAAAACTAGGTGTGAAAGACATTAAGCTACAATTAAAGAACAGGGCATGCCTAAGCACAATTTGAACTACGAAATTTATTTTCACTACCAGAATTGAACTAAGAACAAAACATACGTACGCATGTATTTCATTATAACACACACACACACACACACACACACACACACACACACACGTATTCTGTAATTGATTTTATAGCTGCAAACTGCTTAGAAGCTGTTTTGGCATATAAACGGCATAAACAAGTAAACAAACAAAAAAACCTCACACAAAAGTCTTCATTTCAGCAGCCTAATTTAGATGTAAAATGTTGCTTTGTTTGTTGCTATTGTTAATCAAGAGAGAATTGGAAACCCTTTCCAATCTACTGCAAGTTGCCCAGAGATCCCCAGTGGATCCCTATCTACATTCTGCCCATTCCCAAACATAGATAATTTGAGTAAACCTGAACTGATTCCCCTCCCCCCCCAGTACATTCTGCGAACTAACCCTTTCTTGTACACATTCAGTAATAATGTTAATCATAATTTATTATTTCTACCCCTGCCCATCTGGCTGGGTTTCCCCAGCTACTCTGGGCGCCTTCCAACAGAAGGTTAAAAATACATTAAAACACCAGTCATTAAAAACTTCCTTAAACAGGGCTGCCTTCAGATGTCTTCTAAACGTCAGATAGTTGTTTATTTCTTTGACATCTGATGGGTGGGCACCACTACCAAGAAGGCCCTCTGACTGATTCCCTGTAACTTACCACTGATTTGTCTATATAAATCCATATTTCCTGTCCCAATACATTTTGGGAGTGAAGATCTACATCAGGCACAAGGGGAGAGTGCAGCGACAGAAACAGCAGGCAATGCATTCCTTGGAAGCTGGTTCTGCTGCCCCTGTGGATTGTGCCACCTGAGGCGTCATCTCACTTTGCCTCATGGGTGGGCCAGTCCTCCCTTGCCAAACTGCCTGTGGACATTTAATTTCCCCTTCTGAATATTAAATGCTGGTCCCCATGCAATCCTGATAACAACATTTTGTGTCTGTCTGCCATTCTAATAAACACTAATATTGGTTGTTGTCTTTTTAAAGGAGAAGGTAATGAAGAAATCAGCAACATGATTCATAACTACATCAAGGAAATTGAGGATCTCAGGTATTATTCATTTGACATCTTTTGTGATTTTGTCTTGCTTGTGTTTTCCCCCTAGAATGTAGAATCTATGCGTAGCTCTATCAGTCTATGTGCTTAAAATGTATTGTCTATATGTGTAACCTGGTAGGACTCTTGTTAGTGGTTCAGCACACACCATGGCTCTAAAAAGCATTGTTCTTCACCCCAAGGTTATTTCTAATGACCCTGAACAGCAGTTGTCCAATAATTAAATAGCTGACTTTCTAGAAAGTATAATTAGAACAGAACATTATCAGTTCCTGTATTTGAGCTGCATCAAAGTGCATTCACGTAGCTCTGTGAGCATTTTCCACCGGATCTTCGGTTAATCTGTGTTTGGTATCAGAGTGGGACACACCAAAGGACCCCACCTTTTTTTTTTTTTGCCTTATTCTTATCGCTAGTGAGTGTATGACCTTGCTTGGAAATGTTAGACCATGATTTAGCAATCTGTGACTGTAGCTGCTCATGTGCTCATACGTCCCCTTTCCTCATTTAGTATGGCCTCAAGGAGAAGGATAGAAGCTTTTGATTCCATTTTTAGCTAACCACAGTTAGCGCTGAGTTCAAACCTAGACAAACTGTGGTTAGTTGACTATTGGTTTACTGGACTGAGAAAATTTCAAATCAAGATTTATGACATCGGCTTGTTTCAGTAGCCTTCAGCTAAGACTGAGAACCATATTTGGGCATTATATCTGAACCAGATCACATGCACCCGTAAATGTATTCCCTTATTGCCCACTGTGAATCTAATGAAAGCTGTTGGTAGAGCACGAGACTCTTAATCTCAGGGTTGTGGGTTGGATCCCCACGTTGGGCAAAAGATTTCTGCATTGCAAGGGATTAGATTAGATAATATTTGTGGTTCCTTCCAACTCTACAATTCTATGATTCTATAAAATAAGCTTATTAGTCTTTAAGTTGTGTTGCTGCGGCTGTAATACATTGGCAAGAAAGTACATTGGTACAAGGTGCTTAAACATCACATGTGAAAACATCTGGTGTTAATACAATATTGCTTACATGTGGCACCCCAGGAACCCATTTTAGTAGAGTGGTACCTCAGGTTACATATGCTTCAGGTTACATACGCTTCAGGTTACAGACTCCGCTAACCCGGAAATAGTACCTCGGGTTAAGAACTTTGCTTCAGGATGAGAACAGAAATTGTGCTTTGGCATCACGGCTGCAGCGGGAGGCCCCATTAACTAAAGTGGTACCTCAGGTTAAGAACAGTTTCAGGTTAAGAACGGACCTCCGGAACGAATTAAGTACTTAACCCGAGGTACCACTGTATTTTTATTTTATTTTTAACAAATGTTTGTGTGAAGCAGTTTGCTAGAACCTTGACTATTCTTTTAGAAAAATATTTAACAAAAACGTATACTGACATTTTCCGTTTCCGCTTTCGTTTCTACAATGTTCTGTGCCCAGGGCAAAACTACTGGAAAGTGAGGCAGTGAATGAAAATCTTCGGCGCAACTTGTCGAGAGCCTCAACGAGGTCCACGTACTTTGGTGGCCCCTCTGCGTTTTCTGCTTCGATGCTTCCCTCCGATAAAGAGACAATCGAGATTATTGACTTAGCGAAAAAAGACTTGGAAAAACTGAAGAAAAAAGAAAAGAAGAAGAAGAAGAGGTACCATTTAAAACTACGTTTGCAAAGAATGCTGTCTGTTTTAACCAGGGAATGGTTAATTGTGAGATGAAGAAAAGTCCTCCTTTGCAATAACTGCCACATAAATCCTGCACACACTTAGCCAAGTCTTCATCTCTACAGTCTGCAGCTATGGCCTGGTTTGCATGTAATGTTGAACCTTGGTTAACACTACATACGCAAGCTAAAATGAGTCTGAGCATAGCGTTGGGCTTGTTTGCTGCCATCTCCCCTTCTTCTCCCATGCAGCTGGGAGAATGACTTTTCTAGTGTTTAGTTTCACTTCAAAGAAGAAGAAGAAGAGGAAGAAGAGTTTGGATTTGATATCCCGCCTTTCACTCCCTTTACGGAGTCTCAAAGCGACTAACATTCTCCTTTCCCTTCCTCCCCCACAACAAACACTCTGTGAGGTGAGTGGGGCTGAGAGACTTCAAAGAAGTGTGACTAGCCCAAGGTCACCCAGCAGCTGCATGTGGAGGAGCGGAGACGCGAACCCGGTTCCCCAGATTATGAGACTACCGCTCTTAACCACCACACCACACTGGCTCTCTGGCGTGTTATGTACAAACCCACGATGGTTTGAAGCAAACCCTGGTTAACGTCTAAACAAGATAACATCAGACCATGGGTTGTGAAACTGGCTTGTTAAACTAAGCAGAGTTCATTTTAAACTACAACCTTTTGTTCATACATTACAATAAGCTAGGATTCTTTGAAGTGAAACTAAGTGCAACGAAGTTTTTCTGCCAGCTGAGAAGGGAATGTGCAAACCTGAAGCTTTTGTCAGGCTCATTCTCTTTTGCGCATGTAGTTCCAAATCATGGTTTAGTGTTGCATGTGAACTAGCTCAGTGGATTATGTACATATTCTTACTTGGAAGAGAATACTGAGCTAAGAATGTTTTGGAAGCTCCAGTTAAAAATAAAAGTTCTACTAGGTATAGTGTAGTTGCTTAATTTGAAAGACACATATAGCAGCCATTGAGATTTACATTGGTTATTGTTAAAATGGCTTGTTTTTCTTTCTTCATATGCCTGACTTGCAACATCACTGCATTTCCATACTCCCTTTGATTTCCCCCTTAACTTCTAATCCTCCCAAATCTTCCATCAACCACTAGATTATTTTAGGCTGTGTTAATAAGTAGAACAAATAACAAGTAACTATAAGCAGTTCCCCTACAGGTAGACAGTTGTCCTTCATTTCCTATTTAATGACACATTGTGTTTTATCTATGTGCAACAATCTTACAGTGAAACAAATACATCAGTCAGAGCAAACACATTCATTTTCTGTTTGATGAGTGTATTCTGCTTGCTAACTGGCTGCTTTTTTTGTTGGCTAAATATAAAATATAACAGCCGGTTGCTGTGGAAGTAGCAGCCTAAGATGAAGACCTTATTGAGAGGTCTTCCCTCAAATATGGTGATTATCTCTAGGAGGTATCCTAAACTGGGTCATTAGTCTCTCTATGTGTCTTGGCCATTTTCTTCTATAGCCAGGAAACAGATCAGAACTCCAGAACTTCATTTGAATGACTTAGTTTTAACATGACTGAAGATGAGCCATTTAAACCTGCTTTTCGTCTAATTCATAATCATTATAGACTTTTGATTGAAACTCCTCAGTGTCTTTAATTTCCCCCTGCCCCTTATAATGGTAACTGAGGAAAGAAAAGATAGACTTGGTTAGTTTTGAGTTAAATCTAATTCTCAGGTCAAGTTCACAGGACGTGACAGCTCTGCATAAGTGTATAAGGATAACTGAACTAGGAAGTTGTGTCAGAAAAGCACAATTTACTTGTAGCCCAGTTTTGTATTTTAGTATTGTGACTGTGTCTCTGAGATACAGAGCAAAATCGTTGTGCCTGTCACCTTATCGCTGAACTTTGATGTATGGCTGCAGTTTCAGGCTTCCCCTTGGAGAAGCATAGATGTCCTTGGAAGCTTATCAGGGTTTTTTTTTCCAGTAATAAGATTTGCATGATCTGAAAAGGCCTCTTGTTCACCACAAACACTATGTTCCTAAAACATGTTGTGGTGCTGCGTTCTGAAGTACTCGTGGGAGACTTCAACTACCCTGATACCCTGATACCTGTTGGAACTCTGTAAGGTCCAACAAATTTCTCAGTTGCCTTGCTCACAATTTCATTTCCCAGAAGGTGGAAGAAGCAGCAAGGGGTTTATCTGTCTTGGACCTGGTCCTCACCAACAGGGAGGAACTGATTGGCAAAGTGAAAGTACAGGGAACCTTGGGTGCTAGTGATCATGGTTTTTTTGAGTTTCGTTATACAGAAGCAAGGGAAAATGGAGCGTAGTCGGACGTGCGCTCTGGGCTTTAACAAGGCTGCTTTCAAAAAACCCAATGGTCAGAGAAAAAGAGATGGACAGAGAAACCACAAAAGCACTGTGGTCAAGGCTGGGGTGGCGTGCAAGGAAAGGTTTGCAATGCAGAGGAAAACCAATTTACTTCCCTAATGGTTTGGAGCGGGGAACCTCCGGCCTTCAGGCCAATCTTGGACTGCCAGAGAGTCATTTCCCTCAAAACATAGCCACCTGTCAGTCAGCAGGGAACAGGTGCTCACAGCCAAAGCAGTAAGTGGGGGTGAAAACCTGCTCAGTTTGGCTGCGTCCCAATTGTGGTCTACAGAAGTAGTCTACAGAATGCAGGGTTCTTTCTCCATCATCTGATGGGCAGGAAGTGGGGAGAAGGAAGTGCTTTGCTAGTCATACACTTGGCACTTCTTAAAAGTGATGAGCGCAGAACTGGCAACGCCGCTTGTTCTGCAGTTCCCAACACCCAGCTGCCAGTCATGTGATTGATAGGTGAGTTGTCAACATTGGCAGAGATTGAAAAGGTTGCCTAGGCTTACTGTCATCTGGACGTGCATTTCTGCAGTATTTGTACTCTTCTTTTTCCTAAGGTCGTTTGTTGTAGTTTCTTTTGGACTACAATTCCCATCATCCCTTGCCACTGGTCTTGCTAGTCAGGGATGATGGGAGTTGTAGTTCAAAAACAGCTGGAGGCACAAGGTTGGGAAACACTGGTCTAGAGAGCAATGGAAATAATCAAAATAAAATAATAATTTAGTATTTATACCCCGCCCATCTCGCTGGGTTTCCCCAGCCACTCTGGGTGGCTTCCAACAAAATATTAAAATACAGTAGTCCTTCATATATTAAAAGCTTCCCTAAACAGGGCTGCCGTCAGATGTCTCCTAAAAGTCTGGTAGTTGTTTTTTCCTTTGACATCTGGTGGGAGGGTGTTCCACAGGGCGGGCGCCACTCCCGAGAAGGCCCTCTGCCTGGTTCCCTGTAACTTCGCTTCTCGCAGTGAGGGAACCACCAGAAGGCCCTCAGAGCTGGACCTCAGCAGAACGATGGGAGTGGAGAGGCTCCTTCAGGTATACTGGACTGAGGCTGTTTAGGGCTTTAAAGGTCAGCACCAACACTTTGAATTGTGTTCGGAAACAGTTTTAGCAAGCTGCTTTTAAAAATATTTAGCCAGAAATAAGAGGTATTTTACACTGCAAGTTAAAATGATACGGTAAATGCTTAGAGCTTAATGAGTTTTGGAAGATTCTTCCAAAATACCTATATCTTTCTCAGCTAAGGTATTAAAAAATTCTGCATTGTTATCATTAGCTACTGCATATTCCATTATATTCTCCATTTCAAATTGGCCTATAATTTCAGTACCATATTAAGATTTCTGCAGTCTCAAACTTAATCATGCACATAGATCTCCGCTGTTAAGGTGCTTACATCTAATACAGAAGAATTTCACCTTTTCATTTCTTCTGAGATGTGTTTTTCATTTTTCTAACAAGCACTAATGGTCATATAATGAATTCTAAAAAAAATTATCTCAGCATTATAACGATGTAAAGAGTTGGGGGTTTTCAGAATGCATGGTGGAGTAAGTTTTTAAAGTGTGTGTATTTCAAAATCTTAGAGCTCAATTCTCATAATATGGTAGTCATCCATTCTCACAATATGGTTTAAAGACAGCACTTCCTGAAACTGAAAACATGTGTAACCTGTCCATTAACTAAGTTCTCCTGCAGAAGGAAATGTCCAGTTTGCAAACCTTTATAACCCCCCGCCAAATATGATAAAATTGTCCTTTTTTAAAAAACAACAACCCAAACAAAAACACCAAACAAAATAGCTATATATATATGTCATTTAGTCTGCTGTTCTTCCAAAGAACTTTGAAAAAAACTCGCAGCTAAAGGACGTAGTTTCACTACTAAAGCTGATTGTGTGCCTTCAGGAGGCAGTTGTGATAGGAGCAAACAAGCCAGCTTGTTTGGCAGTAAATGATGGCAGTAAATGGCTTCCTCCTATTGAAAATGCATGGATAGATGCATCACCCCTAGGAAGCCTTCCTGTGCAGCTTATGTTCATTTCAGTGGGACCTGCACAGGAAACCTTCCCTGTATGCAGGATCTGTTCTGTTTTCTATGAATTTTCCATCTGTCGTTCCCTCTATATCCAATATCCAAGCTGTTAAGTTCTGCCTCCACCAACAGACAAGAGAAAGTTAGCAGCAGGCTTGGGAAAACCCGATTGTTTTCAGGAGTACAAAATAGGTTCAGGCCACAGAATGCTGAATGAATGTTTCTGGAGGGACTGAAAACAGTGGGGGACAGACAAGGTGCATGGAATGTAGCGTATGGAGTCCTGAACAGGGAGGCCTCTGCGCTGCAACATCTTGTTGCAGGGTCCCATTTGTGACGAATGTATTGCCTTTTTACAACTTGTGATCTTTTGACAGTGTATTTTTCCTTTTCAAAGAAAAAAAAAAAAGAAAATCATTTGAAATCCACAAGCTCATGTGTCATCTTTTCTTAACCTTCTTGTCGCTCTCGCTTTTCACTGTCTGGTTTGTCCTTCATTGGCTTGGCCCTTCCAATACTGTACCCTCCTGCTTTTGAAGGCTGCAGAAACTTGAGGAAAGCAGTCAAGAAGAAAGAAGGTTGGAATGTTTCACAGGTTTTTAATTAAACTGTCATTTTTTTTTAAACAAGCAAACAAACCACAAACTGTGCCACATAGATCTAACCCTAGAATTTAATCACATGATTGTGGTTTTTATTGCAAGACTAATTCCCCTCCCTGTTATAGAGTTATAGAGTGTGTGTTACACACACACACACACACTGCTAGCACATAAAACACTGACGCATATACCTTGGTTTAAAGTTAACCAGAGCAGTTTAAAGGGGCTGGGTGTAAACTATTACCCATTTCAAAATACCCATTGTTGAGATCAATGCATAATCTGGAGACAAATGCAATTGTTTCTATATTCAACCGATTTTCCTAACAGCAGCCTAATTCAACTGAAAAGTGGATCAGTAAACCACCGCATATGCAGTAACTCTAGAGTATAACTATTTTAACTTCATGAACAGCAAACAATTTTCATTCTGGCTCGGATTCAGTGAATTGGGTTGTGCCAAACTTCCTTTACATATCTACTTTAAGGCAAGGCAGAGCTTCCTGCAGCATGTAAGGGAAGGACACTGATTGGCTTAGGTCCAGAGTGGCACTAATAATTCCACTGATAATTATAAATACTTATCAAGATGCAAAAGAAATATGAACGCAATTAACATATAGCCTATAACTTTTTTATTTAAAAAAATTAATAAAACTACCAACAAAGAGAGAGGATTCCCAAGGATAGCACTTTGCCTGTTATACCTATGAAGAATCAGAATTGTCGAGTTGGAAGGGACCCCGATTTCTAGCCTAACTCCCTGCAATGCAGAAAATGCACATCTTCCGAAATACTTCACTTCTTTCCTAAACCTAGACCCAAACCTTCTTTCTTAAGCCTAAATGCTGCAAGTTTTTTTGTTTTTTGTTTTTTAAAAGTTCACAAGCAAAGGTTAATGGTAACCTAACCTTAAAATCTGCTCTGCTAAAATTATAATCTGTGTTCCATAGGCCTGTGCTTTGCTAGCTGTCAGTCGCTACTGACCGCGATGGCTGTGTTATATTCGTGCCCCCCGCCGAATACCAGATGGGGGGAGAGCTGTTCTACTCAAGTCCTGGTTGGTTGCTGTGTGGACATGATTCTGGATTTGATGAGCCTTTGTCCTGATCTTATCTGTCCACTGCCAACAGTGGCCTTCAGAGATTCTTTTCCCTATTTTGCAATTTGAAATAGATGAAGAATAGGGTAAGAGGGTAGGATGATTGCTAGACATCCCAGGGCCTTCAGTCCAAAATGTAAAAAAATAAATATTTGAGAAGCCTTGGGGGAATAATATCTTAAGGATGAGTAGGGTGATGTCATTGGTGGAGTAACTGTTTGTCAAACCAGGATGAAATCAGACAAGCACATCAATTGTGCAAAACTAACTAATGGGATGCGGGTGGCGCTTTGGTCTAAACCACAGAGCCTAGGTCTTGCCGATCAGAAGGTCGGTGGTTCGAATCCCCACGATGGGGTGAGCTCCCATTGCTCGGTCCCTGCTCCTGCCAACCTAGCAGTTCGAAAGCACGTCAAAGTGCAAGTAGATAAATAGGTACCACTCTGGTGGGAAGGTAAACGGCGTTTCCATGCGCTGCTCTGGTTCGCCAGAAGCAGTTTAGTCATGCTGGCCACATGACCCGGAAGCTGTCTGCGGACAAACGCCGGCTCCCTCAGCCATTAAAGCGAGATGAGCGCCGCAACCCCAGAGTCGTCCACGACTGGACCTAACGGTCAGGGGTCCCTTTACCTTTACCTATGCCTACTGAGAAGTAAGTCCTATTGAATTCAGGATTGTGGATTTAGGATTAGGTTAGCCACAGTGTGTACTTTGGGAATAACTAGATTTGCAGTCAGTTTTGCAATCTAGCTTCAGGGGCGAAGGGAGTCATGATGGGATTGGGGCTTCCTGGAAAGCCAATCTTTTCCCAGGATGCATTAGGCATGGGATTTCTTGTAAAGTATTAATGATCTTGAGTATAGAGCGTGAGTCAGTTGTGAACTCACGTTTTACAAGAGCATTGATTCAAGTTCAAAGAATTGCAAAGAATTGCAAGGACGATCTTAACATACCAAGAAGCGGGCGGACCCTGATGACTGTGTAGATTATTAATACACCGTAGAGGGGAGAACATTGGAAGCATGTGAATAGGGGAAGAAAAGGCTATAAGCCACCCATTCATCTGTTTAGGTCTGGGAATCTAAAGGATAACAGCTGTGGCAGCAAAGCACAGATGGCCTCCATGGAAACTGCCTGGAAAAAACTTCATACGGGAGCTCCATGCAGCTAGTGTCACTTTTTAAAAAGATACTTGCCCCTCTTCCTCTTGTGCCACTAGAAATATTGGGAAAGAAGGTATTAAGAAAGGGTGGCTTTCAGCTGAGACCAAGAAAGGCTCAGTGCTTAGGTTTAGAATTTGATTGGCTGGTGACCTTGTTCTATCTGTTTTTTCCATTGAATACATGAGCTTGCTCAATGTTGTAGACGTGTTTCTCGTCCTATAACAGCACCACTGGCTTATTTGTATCTTCTTTGCCCTTCGTTTTATGACCTCTGTTGTTTGCTGATCACATTTTTAGCTGTGCTTTACAATTATTTCCTCTTTACTACCCTATCGCATTAGATAAGTCTGACAAAAATTTGTAATGTGTTAGATGTTATTTATTTACATTTCTTTTTGTCCACTCCTGAAGGCTCAAGATAGATAAAAAATAACATTATATATGTGTGGATGAATCTTCTTCTTCTTCTTCTTCTTCTTCTTCTTCTTCTTCTTCTTCTTCTTCATTGTTTTCAGTACTTAAATACTGCTCAATGGCCACAGTTCTCAAGATGGTTTAGAAGCCAAAATAAATTAATACCACAGAACATGAAAATAAAATATAAAACAGAATACAAAGAGCAACAGAACAAACCCATACTAAGACCAGTAGTGGAGAATATGATTAATATAACAGATCTTTTAAAAAAAATTAAAATGTTTTAAGATTAAAAAGCCGGAGAAGATAACAGGCTTCTCCTTATTACTTTTATCATTATTGTTTTAAATTAAATTTATATCATACCCTTCCTTCTTCCCAAAGGAGCCCAGGGTGGCAAACAAACAAACAATAAAAAACTTAAAAGATGGCACAGATGCAGACTAGGAAAGGTTTTTACTGCAAGGTTTGTAGCAGAGGAACTTTTTCAATAGGTGCCTCTCGTTTTATGGGGTACTCATAGAAGGAGCTCTTAAGATAATCTTAGGGTCCTCATATGTGTGAAGAGGCAATCCTTCATGTGACCTAGGCCCAGACTAGCACCGGCACTCTGAATTGGACCTGTAAACAGACTATAAGCCATAGCTTGTGACAAATGCGTGGTATAATATGCTTGCATTCATCAGTCAGTGTTAACTCTCTACTTTGTACCAGCTGGAAGTCAAAGGCACACTGCATATTATATGTTGCAAGTTAGAGATTATTGTAGTGTGGATAACTGTAATCAGGATATTTCTATCCAGAGAGTACAGGAGTGGAGAAGCTGTGGGCCACTTGCGTTTTCTTTGGTAGCCCATAGTTTGCCCCACTGCAGGGGAATTTGTCACCCAGCATAGGACTGATGTTGGGTGATTGGCTCTGCCCACCTTCTAAACTGGCCAAGAAAGGTTTGGGGGAGCCATCACACAAGCAGCTCATCTAAGATCCATATGTGTGGGGCAGCTAATTCTGAAGAATCCATAAATTGCCTGGGGCCCATTCCTCCATGATTAAGTGTTAAGTTGTGGGTGAACATATCAGACAACACAGCGATTCTTCAAACAGCTCTTGTTTATTCACAGGCCAGAACAGAACTGAACTGAAGGGTTCGGTCAGCCTGCTTATATAGAGCTCCAGTACAACGTAACTGTAACAATTTTCTAAAACTATCCAATCACTGAACGTCACTTTCGATCCCCTTATTTGCATAACTATCTACAGTATCCCCCTGCTGGCCCAGGGTGAGAACTTCAGTACATAACATTAAGGTTGCAATCCGAAACACACTTGCAAGGAACTGAGCCCTGTTGAACTCAGTGGGACTTATTTCTGGGTAAATGTAGCTAGGATTTTCTTACATTTGTTACAAACACACACACACACACACACACACACAACACACTTGCTAAACCTGCATTTCTTGGCATGCTGTTTTGATTTTCCTTCTGCTCCTTAAATGATCTCCGTGGGCAGTACATAATTATTTTATGTATAGGCCTGTGATTTTAGGGATATTTTTCTGGCTTCTGTGGTTCCAGCTTATATATTACACCCAGCTTAACTCTAAGCTGCTCTGGCATGCTGTAGACCAGCCTTTGCCAACCTGGCGGCTCCAGATATTTCGGACTACAACTGGCTGGGGCTGATGGGAGTTGTAGTCCAAAACATCAGGAGGGCACAAGGTTGGCAAAGGCTGGTTTTAGGCACTCCGCGGTTCTCCAGTGCCTTTCTGGTTGTCTGTCTGCAATGCTTTCCCTTTTCCCATTTGAACTTTACCATCCATTAACTTTTAGCTCCACTTCTGAATCTCCAGAATGCAACTTTATGCATGATGGGGGGAAACAGTTTTTGGGATCTTTATGGTTCTCCTTGCCATTTCAAACCATTTGATCTTGCAAGAAGCCATGAAGCTAAAATGTTGAATACTGTGATGCCCCTTGCCTTTCACATTCTCCTTTCAGTGAAGCACCAGGTTGTGGCTGGTGCTTTAGCCAGGTTGTTGGTTTGAGGAGAGGGGAAATAACCTCCTTCTTGTATTTTATGACCCCTTTTGTATTTCTTATCATAGTACTGTTAAAGAGGAGAGCACAGACAATGAGCAGGAGAAGAGGGACGAAAAGGGCGCTTCTGAAAGAGAGAATAATGAACTGGAAGCAGTAAGTATTGTGATCTTAATATATTCCGTCAATACTAATAAAACTCTTGCACTGCCTCCCTGCCTTTTTATGATTCAGAAAGGCAAAACTTGAAGAAATAATAATAATAATAATAATAATAATAATAATAATAATAATAATAATAATAATTTATTATTTATACCCCGCCCATCTGGCTGAGTTTCCCCAGCCACTCTGGGCGGCTCCCAATCAAGTGTTAAAAACAGTACAGCGTTAAATATTAAAAACTTCCCTGAACAGGGCTGCCTTCAGATGTCTTTTACAGATAGGATAGCTGCTTATTTCCTTCACATCTGAAGGGAGGGTGTTCCACAGGGCGGGCGCCACTACCGAAAAGGCCCTCTGTCTGGTTCCCTGTAACCTCACTTCTCGCAATGAGGAAACTGCCAGAAGGCCCTCGGCGCTGGATCTCAGTGTCTGGGCTGAATGATGGGGGTGGAGACGCTCCTTCAGGTATACAGGACCGAGGCCGTTTAGGGCTTTAAAGGTCAGCACCAACACTTTGAATTGTGCTCGGAAACGTACTGGGAGCCAATGCAGATCTCTCAGAACCGGTGTTATGTGGTCCCAGTCACCCGGTGTTATGCGGTGTTATGTGGTCCCAGTCACCAGTCTAGCTGCCGCATTCTGGATTAATTGCAGTTTCTGGGTCACCTTCAAAGGTAGTCCCACAGTAGTCCAAGCGGGAGATAACTAGAGCATGCACCACTCTGGCGAGACAGTCCGCGGGCAGGTAGGGTCTTAGCCTGCAATCAGAGAAAGGACATAAGTAAACTTCATAAGTAAATATTAATTAAAGCAAAGCACATGCAACTAATTCTGTCACAGGTAGTCTTATAATAGTTGTGTATTTCAGCAGAATATTTAGTCAGTTATGAACTGGTTAAAGTTAAAATTGTCTTTGTACTTAAAATAAGGAATTTGTGGAGCAATTCCATTTTTATCCTCTTTCTCCTTTTCTTACTTTAGGAAGAAGGTCAGGAGCTTAGTGACCGTGAAGATGACGAGGAAGATGACGAGGAAGATGAAGATGACATGGAAGTTGTGGAAAGCTCGGATGATTCCGATTCTGATTCTGATGAAAAAGGTGACACCAACTCCAATAACGTTAGAGATTTTTGTAGCTGTTTATGCAGAGAACTTGTGTCAAATTTTCCAAAGACCTAAATGGGCATCTTTGGGTTAGGGGAAGCAGTGTGCAGGCTGCCGTTAACAGCTATGTCCTGAGTTAAATTAGGGATGGGGAACTTCATGTTAAAGGCTAGTAATTTGAATGATCATTTCCAGGAAATACATGTTGATGTAAGTATTTTTGAATGACTAGTCTAAGTATGTAATGGAGATATTTTGACATCTGCCAGACCTGGGATTTTTGCTTCAGAGTTCTAGTACTTACACTAAGCTACTGTATTTGGAGTGTACCATTGTTGCAAAAACCAGAGTGTACAATGTTTGCTTAAATTAGCATCCTTTTATCAGGTGCATTCCTAGTTTACATAACTTTTGCAGCTGTATAGGCTGATTGGCTACAGTGTTGCTTGTATTTATTTGTGTTTTTTTAACGACAGCAAGCTATCAGGCAGACCTAGCAAACATCACATGTGAAATTGCCATAAAACAGAAGCTGATAGATGAACTGGAAAACAGCCAACGAAGACTTCAGACCTTAAAAAGACAATATGAAGAGAAGCTAATGATGCTACAACATAAGATTCGAGATACCCAACTTGAAAGAGATCAGGTGCTTCAAAATCTGGGTAAGAAGAATGCCATTGTGAAGCTGCTGTATAGGCCACATTGAGAACTTAGTGAGGACATGCCAGTGTCAGTCATACTTATGACATGACTTCCATATTATCTCAAAATGTAAAGTAAAGGGAAAAGACCCCTGACAGTTAAGTCCAGTCGCAGACGACTCTGGGGTTGAAGCGCTCATCTTGCTTTACTGGCTGAGGGAGCCATCTTGGCCACAGACAGTTTTTCTGGGTCATGTGGCCAGCATGACTGAGCCACTTCTGGCGAACCATAGCAGTGCATGGAAATGCTGTTTACCTTCCCACCGGAGCGGTACCTATTTATCTACTTGCACTTTGATGTGCTTTCGAACTGCTAGGTTGGCAGGAGCAGGTACCAAGCAACGGGAGCTCACCCCGTCGAGTGGATTCAAACCGCCGACCTTCAAAATGTAGTGGGATACAAATTTTAATAAAATAAGATAGCCAGTGTAATCACTCACTAGGAGACCTTGGTTCAAACTCCCAGAGAATCTGTCACTTGCCTTCTCTCAGTCTAAGCTACCTCATAGTCTTGTTGTCAGCCTAACATGGGTTAACGTCCCTCTAGCACTGAGCATCACTTAGAGCAGAGCTTTCCCAACTTTCCATGTTGGTGACACAATTTTTAGACATGCTCTGGTAGGAGCATGGGGAGCTTTCACGCAACCCACCTACACACTGCAGCTGACACACTAACGTGTCATGACACACAGTTTAGAAAACTCTAAACTTAGAGGAAGGATGGAATTGATGTGATATTGGAAATTATCTTTTTGCATATCCCTTTTTCGTTCACACTAAAGCCTTGGCAAAATAAAAAAATGATGTGCAAATGAAATCTTGGCATTGCAAGTTAGGCACTGAACGTATTGGTTCATGATCTATAAACTGAGAAATCCATTTCTATTTCTTTAGGTTCGGTGGAATCTTGCTCAGAAGAAAAGGCAAAAAAGGTTAAAACGGAGTATGAAAAGAAGCTCCAATCCATGAATAAAGAGCTGCAGAGGCTTCAGGCTGCTCAGAAAGAACATGCACGATTACTTAAAAATCAATCTCAGTATGAAAAACAACTGAAAAAATTGCAGCAGGATGTGGCAGAGATGAAGAAAACAAAGGTACTTTTTTTTTTAAAAAGCACAGAATCCAATGCTGCACGTGTCTACCTGAACAATGAACTATATCCCCTGGCATTATGGATTTATTTTTTCTGCTTAAAAAGGAGTGTTAAAGCTGGTCAGTTCAAGAAATTATTCTCCATTTTGATCATCTAGTTAGGATGACCGCCTACCAAGTAGTAACTTGCTGTGGTATACAGTTTCTTGGAGAAGCTATTTATTTTGTAAGCGTTCACCCAAATGGTGAGGAAAGTTTCTTTTCAAAGCTGCCTTGCTTCCTTGTATTTCTGGCTGGGTGCAAGTGCATGACACTCTCACTGCTAGGGCAGAGACTGCAGACAACTCTGCCTCCCACTTTGCAAACAGTTGCCTGAATTCACTCTTGCTAACTGTGGAATTCGAAAATGTCTCAGAAGACGGTCCTGTTACCTAACTGCTTGTTAGCGTTAAGGTAGCAAATCACATTGCAGCAATACTCGCCAAGAGAGTGATTACAATGAAGGATTATTAAGTATGGTAAAAGGGCATCAGCCTTGTAGCAAAAAGCAAAACAAAAACAGCTTTCTCCCACATGATTTGAGTGTGTGAAAAGCAAAGCTGCATAATTTTATTTGAATAATAAAAAATAAAAAGTTTGAATAATTTTATACAGGTTCGTCTTATGAAGCAAATGAAAGAAGAGCAAGAGAAAGCCAGGATGAATGAATCTAGAAGAAATAGAGAGATTGCTCAGCTGAAAAAGGAGCAACGAAAACGAGAGGTGATTAATAAATGTATCTACTGTGGGGGTTTTTATGTTGTATGAATTTCAAAAGCTCCCGAAAGCTTTGTAAAGGTTTTCAGGTGTTGACATGTGCTATTTTATTACTGCTTTAGCAACGAATAGGTGGATTGAATTTGGTTGACTACTCATTGTACTAAGCCAGCAATGAAAGTAGAATAAAGTTTTCAGCTGAGAAGTTTCTGCAAGATATTTCATATGGTATTGGTAAGCAGTTAATTCATGGGGCTGGCTTGCTAACACATTGTGGAAGATTTCAATCCTGTGCATACTTATTTGGCAACAAGCCTTTCAAAGATAGTGGAACGAACTTCTGAGTCCATAGGACTGTGCTGTTCTTGTTCTTGTATGTGAAGTGGGATTACTATTTAATGCTTACCCCTATAAGCATTAAACCTGGGTTAAACCACAGAGCCTAAGACTTGCCAATCAGAAGGTCGGCGGTTCGAATCCCCGCGACGGGGTGAGCTCCCATTGCTCAGTCCCAGCTCCTGCCCACCTAGCAGTTTGAAAGCACGTCAAAGTGCAAGTAGATAAATAGGTACCGCTCTGGCGGGAAGGTAAACGGCGTTTCCATGCGCTGCTCTGGTTCGCCAGAAGTGGCTTAGTCATGTTGGCCACATGACCCGGAAGCTGTACGCCGGCTCCCTCGGCCACTAAAGTGAGATGAGCGCCGCAACCCCAGAGTCGGCCACGACTGGACCTAATAGTCAGGGGTCCCTTTACCTTTATAGAGGAAATATCAACAAATGTCCCCCTTCCTTGGCTGGTTGTACCAACTAATTGAATGATGGTATTGAGAGAATTGTATCTCATCATCATCATTTTATTTGTATGCTGCTTTCATAGTTAAAACAATACTCAAGGCGGCTTACAGCATGACAAGATTTACATAATTACCAACTTAACAAAAGTCATAATAAATAAAGCACATCGAAAGGTACAACCAAATGGAAATTTCCCTCCACATAAATCATAAAATCTAAAACAACATGAATATCAATAAGAATTTAAAATGACATAGATTAAAAAAAACCCCAATTTTAAAAAGCATCCAAATCCTTGACTTCTTATTGGCTTTTCTTTACAGCATCAGCTAAAACTTCTGGAGGCTCAGAAGAGGAATCAGGAAGTTGTTCTGCGCCGGAAAACAGAAGAGGTGCCGGATTATTTCAGTGTTGCAATTAAATGCAAGCTATTATTTGAAATTCCTATAATTTGTACATTAAATAGGTCCTTATTAGACACTGTTGTCTCACTGCTTTAGGTTACAGCTCTTCGTCGGCAGGCAAGACCTTTGTCTGATAAGGTGGCTGGGAGGGCAAGTCGGAAGCTGAGTCTGCCTGAGCAGGCGAATCACGAACCAAGTTCTAGTGTGTCATCAGTAGACAATGAAGGATCGAGAGCAGCGTCACAGCAGAAGATGCGGATACCCGTAGCAAGGGTCCAAGCATTGCCAGCAGCCACGACCAATGGAACCAGGTAATGATGGGCAAACCTGTTATTACCTTGCTACTTTTGTAGTCTTGTCTTCCTGTAGACATAAAAAACTGTCATTTTCCAACTCCCACGGGAGGATTTATGGTGCTGTGTTATAATCCTGGATGTGGATGGGGTTGGGATGTGATGGGGAGCAAAGGAGAAGGCAGGTTGTACAACAACAGTGGTGATTGCATGGGAGTGAGAAGAGAGTACAAGTGATGGTTTAAAGCAGGGGTCAGCAAACTTTTTCAGCAGGGGGCCGGTCCACTGTCCCTCAGACGTTGTGGGGGGCCGGACTATATTTTTGTGGGGGGGGGGGGAATGAACAAATTCCTATGCCCCACAAATAACCCAGAGATGCATTTCAAATAAAAGGACACATTCTACTCATGTAAAAACACGCTGATTCCCGGACCGTCCGCGGGCCAGATTTAGAAGACGATTGGGCCGAATCCGGCCCTCAGGCCTTAGTTTGCCTACCCATGGTTTAAATGACAGGTGTTTGAGTAAAGTACCTTCATACAATGGAATATTTGAGGTCTGCTCCTTTATCTCTCTAGCATGAGGCAGTTGAAGGAATAGTTTGAATACAGTGAGAAGGACACTGAAAGGAAACAAGTGGCTGTTTTAAGCAATCTGCGATACTGAACACACATGATTTAAGATTTTTTGAAAAAGAGTCGCACATCCCCCTCAGATTTCAAATATTAAAAGTGTTCTCTTTTATGATTACTGGTACTGCATAAAAATGTTATAGCATTTTATGTGAACGACGTAAATCTTTGAATTGCTTGCAGGAGTAAATATCAAAGGAAAGCAATGACCACAAGAGTTTATACCTCCAAGGGAGCGAGAATGAAGTGGCAGTTACTCGAACGGAGGGTGACTGAAATCATTATGCAGAAAATGACCATATCCAATATGGAGACTGACATGAATAGACTACTTAAGGTAGAGCTTTCTCTTTCTTTCTTTCTTTCTTTCTTTCTTTCTTTCTTTCTTTCTTTCTTTCTTTCTTTTACACCCCTTCGGCTACTTGCAACATCTGGGAAAATGCCACTTTTCTGTTGGGTGAAAATTAAAGTACTTTTGCCCTGGTCAGTGCATGTACAGTGGTACCTCGGGTTACATACGCTTCAGGTTACATATGCTTCAGGTTATAGACTCTGCTAACCCAGAAATATTACGTTAAGAACTTTGCTTCAGGATGAGAACAGAAATTGCACAATGGCGGCGCAGCGGCAGCAGGAGGCCCCATTAGCTAAAGTGGTGCTTCAGGTTGAGAACAGTTTCAGGTTAAGAATGGACCTCCGGAACGAATTAAGTTCTTAACCTGAGGTAACACTGTATGTCCATCATGTTGAGACATGATGCTGTTTTTGCTAGTTTTGGCATGCGAAAAAATGGACCTGGAAAATATAAAGCCACCATTGAATTTTCATATTACCTCCAGCTTTCACAGAGCTTTTCAGTGTAACCTGTTTATATATTCAGTTTCCAGTCATTAAGTGTATATTAATTAGCCATGCATGTATGAACCACCCTTTAATGTCATAAGACCAGCTGTTAAGTTGCATATTTGCTGCTTAATGTTTCGTCCTCCCACAGAAATGCAATGAAAAGTCATGTCTGCTTTATCTCATTTAGTATTCTCCTGTAAGACACAGGTGGCGCTGTGGGTTAAACCACAGAGCCTAGGACTTGCCAATCAGAAGGTCGGCGGTTTGAATCCCTGTGACGGGGTGAGCTCCCGTTGCTCGGTCCCTGCTCCTGCCAACCTAGCAGTTCGAAAGCACGTCAAAGTGCAAGTAGATAAATAGGCACCGCTCTGGCGGGAAGGTAAATGGCGTTTCCATGCGCTGCTCTGGTTCGCCAGAAGCGGCTTAGTCATGCTGGCCACATGACCCGGAAGCTGTCTGCGGACAAACGCCGGCTCCCTCGGCCCATAGAGCGAGATGAGCGCCGCAACCCCCAGAGTCGGTCACGACTGGACCTAATGGTCAGGGGTCCTTTATTCTCCTGTAAAACATTTGGCTGGCCAATTTTCACAGCTTGTGTTTCACATACACATTTTAATTACAGCAACGTGAAGAACTTACCAAAAGGAAAGAGAAGCTTTCCAAAAGGAGGGAGAGAGTTATCAAAGAAGGTGTCCCAGAGACCGATAAAAACATCCACAACATCAATGAAGAGATGGAGTCACTGACTGCAAATATAGATTACATCAATGACAGTATTTCTGACTGTCAAGCAAATATCATGCAGATGGAAGAAGCAAAGGTATGTCAGCCCCGAAGGTTTTGTGAAAGAATTATGTTCAGATAGGGAATTAATTTTCTTTTATTCAGCTATTAATTGCACTCTGCAGTTTTCTGCATTTATGTGCTGTACGGATTGCATGCAAATTTAAACATCAGAGCCAGCTTTTGTTGCATTTATGAACTAGATTAAAGATCTAGCTATAACTTTCATTTGTACGGTTTCATAATAATTTTATTTGTAAATCAAAGCCATAAGTAAGTGAACACCCTCCTACATAGCTATGCAAGGCTGCAACCCTATAGGCGCTTGACTGTGAGTAAGTCATATTGAACACAACTTCAGAGTAAACATGCGTAATATTGAACTGTAAATTATGGACTGTCTCTCATCCTTTCCCAATTTTGCATTTTCAATATATTTTGCTTGAAATATACTTATACTTTCATATAGCTGAATGGTCTGAAAATTTGGCACTTAGTTGATTTTTGCAAGTCCGAATAATCATATCTCTTAAAAGAAGCTTTGTTTGTGTTACTTTTCTAAATATTCTGGCTTAATAGAATTCACTTTAATTTTGAAAAGTTCCTATTGGAATAACATTCCCGTAGCCATATAGCCAAATTCATCATGCGAAAGGCTGGGCTGGATGAATCCCAAGCCGGAATTAAGATTGCCGGAAGAAATATCAACAACCTCAGATATGCAGATGACACAACCTTGATGACAGAAAGTGAGGAGCAATTAAAAAACCTTTTAATGAGGGTGAAAGAGGAGAGCGCAAAATATGGTCTGAAGCTCAACATCAAAAAAAACAAAGATCATGGCCACTGGGCCCATCACCTCCTGGCAAATAGAAGGGGAAGAAATGGAGGCAGTGAGAGATTTGACTTTCTTGGGCTCCATGATCACTGCAGATGGTGATAGCAGTCATGAAATTAAAAGACGCCTGCTTCTTGGGAGAAAAGCAATGACAAACCTAGACAGCATCTTAAAAAGCAGAGACATCACCTTGCCTACAAAGGTCCGTATAGTTAAAACTATGGTTTTCCCAGTACTGATGTATGGAAGTGAGAGCTGGACCATAAAGAAGGCTGATCGCCGAAGAATTGATGCTTTTGAATTCTGGTGCTGGAGGAGACTCTTGAGAGTCCCATGGACTGTAAGAAGATCAAACCTATCCATTCTGAAGGAAATCAGCCCTGAGTGCTCCCTGGAAGGACAGATCGTGAAGCTGAGGCTCCAGTACTTTGGCCACCTCATGAGAAGAGAAGACTCTCTGGAAAAGACCCTGATGTTGGGAAAGCACAAGGAGAAGGGGACGACAGAGGACGAGATGGTTGGACAGTGTTCTCGAAGCTACAAACATGAGTCTGACCAAACTGTGGGAGGCAGTGGAAGACAGGAGTGCCTGGCATGCTCTGGTCCATGGGGTCACAAAGAGTCGGACACGACTAAACGACTAAACAGCAACAACAGCCATATAGCATTCATGTGGTTTTTTCCCCTGACTAACCACTCTGATGTCTTTGATTTATGCAGGAAGAAGGAGAGATTCTGGACGTCACTGCGGTAATCAATGCCTGCACTCTAACAGAAGCTCGGTATCTACTTGACCATTTCCTTACAATGGGCATTAATAAGGTAACACACCTGGTGGGAACCCTGTTGTGTCTTGTACTGGATTACCATTGCATGGGCTAATGGCTGGGTGACATCGCCGGATCTTCACAAGAATGTTAGACTTTAAAATGGTATAGTCCAAAAATGTGAAAGAAATCCAAAATAGCACAAGCAGGCACCCACTTGCCAAATGTGGATATGCCTTCCTTTCCTCCCTGCCCCCAGCACTGCCCAAATCTGCCCCAGAGGGTAGGGAGACAGTGCTTTGAGACAGATTTGGGAAGTGCATGGGGGATGTTGGAGGGAGGAAGAGAGAAACCAAAAGTCCCATTTTAATGGGAGGCATCGTGGGGTGGTGCCCAAAATATACAGTAACCCCCCTCTCACCCCCTAAGAATTATATACAGTCATACCTTGGGTTACAGACGCTTCAGGTTGCGCGTTTTAGGGTTACGAATGCGCCGAAACCCGGAAGTACTGGAACGGGTTACTTCCGGGCTTTGGTGCATGTGCAGAAGCACCAAATTGCAACCCGCACATGCGCAGACGCGCCGCTGTGGGTTGCGAACACTGCTGGTTGTGAACATGCATCCCGCACGGGTCACGTTTGCAACCCGAGCGTCCACTGTACAGCCATGGGGAAAAGAAAGTGCACCCTCATTGAATTCTGTTGTTTTACATACGAGGACATAATAGCAATCATCTGTTCCCCAGCAGGTCTTAAAATTAGGTAAATACAACCTCAGATGAACAGTAACACACGACATATTACACCGTGTCATTATTTCTTTTAACAGAGATAAATCCAAAACAGAGAAGCAATTGTTGGCCCAAATAATTCATGTCAGCAGGAAAGCTTCTTGCCAGATTGGAAAAGTTGACTGCACATTTGCAAGACTTTATCTCTGGTGTACGCTGAGGGGGAAATGGTTTTTATGGGTCATTTCCCCACTCCCTTTTGTGTTGAAAGTATTTCTAAATGTTGATATTCGTGTTGGTTTTTCACAGTATGCGGGACACCCCAGGGTCAAAGGTTACAAATTGTGTCTCCGTAAAGGAAAGTTCACATACAGATAATGCAATGGTAGCAAAACATCCATTGGTTTATAGCAGGGGTGGCCAACTCTCAAGAGACTACCATCTATACACAGAGTTAAAAGCTGGCAGTGATCTACCCCCTTTTTGGGGGTTCAGGGCAAAGTTGTTGAGCTTTTTTTCTGGGGAGCCTAGCTTGTTTAGCTTCTTTGGGGGGGAGCCAATGATCTACCACAGACGTCCAGTGATCTGCCAGTAGATCGCGATCTACCTGTTGGACATACCTGGTTTATAGGGTGGCACCCATAGATACAATAAATATCTATGCCCGCCCACTTGCGTAGAGTTATTTAGAATCAAACTGTTTTTTGCATCTTTACAGGGTCTCCAAGCAGCTCAGAAGGAAGCTCAGATTAAAGTACTTGAAGGACGCCTCAAACAAACAGAAATTACCAGTGCAACGCAAAACCAGCTGCTGTTTCACATGTTGAAAGAGAAGGCAGAATTAAATCCTGAACTTGATGCTCTACTAGGCCATGCCTTGCAAGGTAATTTGAACACTCTACAAAATGGAATTATACTGCATGCTAGGTTTGCCGATGATGCATGTTTTGTTAGGTGTGTTTCAAATAAGGTGCTTTGTGAATAGATGCTGTACTTTTTGTGCATGTAAAGGTATTCCCCCCCCCCAAATAACAGTGCGCCCAGCAATGAAAATCAGGAAATCTCATAGTTAATCACTGTTTTATAGCTTGAATTCAATATTTGGGTAATTTAAAAAAGCAAAACAAAACAAAATTAGGTGTCTTACAAATTGGAATAATTTTAAAAATAAAATTCTTAACTTCTCTTATTAAAAAAACTTGTGATGTGTACTTTATGGCATCTATTCCGCTAGTTCTGATAGGTTTAATCTGATTATAGTGTAACATAGGACTCTCTTATTTCCCACTCTGCAAATGGATTGGTTTTGATTGGAGTGTTGCTTTTTGTTTTCTCCTCGCTGTTGTTTTACACAGACCTAGATAGCGTTCCGCTGGGTAAGTATATGTAGCTTTCTGTGTACCTCACAGCTGCATGAGATACTAATGATACACGTGTACACTAACTGGCGCATCTTAGAACGTACGCATACATAAAAGTTTGCATGCACTGTTTAGGAGATACGCTCAGAGTCCTCTTTCCTTAGATACAAACGTCTTACAAAATATTGGATGTTAACAACTGAGACAGGCACGAATGCAAACAGTGTGAATGTACTTAAAAGCTTTTGGTTGTTCACCCGGGACGCTGTGGCTGATACACTATCTGCTGATACATTTATGTGCTGCTCTCTTTTACTGTAGCTGTAACACACATAACCATTTTCCCCTCAGAAAACCCCCCCACATTAACTCTAAAACTCATTTTAGCAACACAGAGACGATGAGTGCTTTATAGGAATCTTGTTTTAAAATTCATGTGTTAAGGTGAACCTGGCTTATTAAGTTGTGTATTAAGTTAAGCAATGGCTATAACTCAGTACATGCAAATGGGCAGTGAAAACATTCATACTGAACTGTAAAACAGGTGTGTGGTTTTCTGGTTTTTTAAAATTGCCATACAGTAATCAAAGAAAGCTACTGGTCAGGCTATTCTGTTCAAATTTATTTCATCGAGATGTTCTGTATAGCTTCCTCCACGTTAGTGTCCGTTGCGTTGATGGCCTGAAGGCAATCTGGAGAGCTAGAGCTTATGTCAAGCTCCTCAACCACACTATTTTAGTGCCGTACCACATAAATATATGAATGGGTCAAGGTTTGCTCCCTGCATACCCACCAGAATGCAGTCTCAAGTTAATGTGGTGCTGTGCTTTAAAGGGTGTATGTTTCTTGGTCCCTAAAACTGAACCCAGGACGAGACTTGGAGTAGGTTTCAGGCTCACATGCTCCTACCCTTAGTTTGTGAGTAGAACAATTAACAGAAGGTTCTTCGTCTTCCATAGTTCAGTGGCTCCCTTGTCCTTCCAGTCGCAGGGAAGGGAGCGTGTGAGCTGGAAGCGCAGTGTCTCTCTTCCAACTTACAATCCTAGAGCTAAGTAATGAGCAGACATATCTGTTATGTACTGAAGTTCTCACCCTGGGCCAGCAGGGGGATACTGTAGATAGCTGAGGTCCACATATGCAAATAAGGGATCGAAAGTGACGTTCAGTGATTGGATAGTTACAGAAAATGGTTACTGTTGCGTTCTAGTGGAGCTCTATATAAGCTGGGTGGCTGAACCCTTCAGTTCAGTTCAGTTCTGGCCTGTGAATAAACAAGAGCTGTTTGAAGAATCGCTGTGTCATCTGATATGTTCACCCACAACTTAACAATATCCACAGTCTTCCAGGAGATAGGGATGAGTAAGAAGAAGTAGACAACTGTGGGGTGTGTGGAGCGAAGAGAAATAGTACAATGAGAGATGTGGGTAACATGGTGCTTTGAGGATAGGCAAAGACTGTCTGAATGGTGCAGCTGGACCCCTTATAACCTTGGCCCTAGCAGTTGCCTTGTGCATGTGCTGATTCCAGGTACTGACTTTTGGTGTGTTATGGTGAATATAGTTCCATTGGTAAAACCAGAGTAGCTAGACATCTGTTCAGTCGGTTCACCCAAGTGCCTTCCTTGAGTGGCAGCAGGGTAAAGGACCCCAAAGGACCCTAGAGACATCACAGTTACCTTTTTGTCTTGTCTCCCCACTGTTCTCTCTATACGTTTCTGAAATAAACTTGGTATACATTCAGTGACGGGTGGTACATTTTATTATGGGCTCGTCCATTTGGCATATCCCTGCATGCTGGCGTGTTTATGATGTATTGTGGCTGTAATTGACAAGCATGCTAGTGTTTCTTTTTCTTGTGTGAGCAGACGAATAGTTCTCACTGGCACTGTTTGTTGCAGGTCCCATTTCATCTGTGTAGCTTTTCTTCCTTCCTGTTCCCTCTATTGATGTTGTAGATGTTTAGGAAGCTGTTGTGTAAATGTAGAGTAGTGAAATCATCTCGCTTTATAGGGCCCAAATGGTTGTTTGTCTGTCAAGTGCAGTATTTTGTCAAAGTAGAAGCTAAAGGAATGCAAAGTAGAATACACCCCATCTATCTTTCTCACTGCCCCTCAACTCGATATTTATTCAGAGCCATAATGAAAAACGGGTATACAGGGATATTATATGTCTATGCCGAATATATTATGTTTGTCCTTCCTGCTTTCCTAGTGATACGTTTATAATTTTCCTATGTGATGGTTAGTCAATTCAAAACAAAAAACAAACAGAAAACCTATTCTTCCTGGGTATTTGGGGAAAGTAAAGAAGTTGAGCAACTAGATTCAGCATCAGGGACATTATGGGAAACTAGTTCAGTTTAACTCTTACCTTAAGTAAAAAATGAATTAAGTGTGAGAGTTTAATATATGGAAGGCAGTGCATATTATTCTTGTTTTGGGTAATATGAGGAGCCTTTGGGGTAGATATATGCTGCGTGTGAAACTGTCTAACAAAATAACGACTTTGGGAATTTTCCAGAAAATGTGGAAGATAGCACTGATGAAGATGCTCCTTTGAATAGCCCCGGGGCAGAAGGAAGGTGAGAAAAGAACATAAACAGTAACCAATAGCTACCTCTAAAATGGCTTTTATTCACAATGAATTCGTGTGAGCCTCTCTCGGAATTTTCCTTAACCAGTTCTAAGCAAACTGAGGAATGAGCAATTTGGCAAGGGGCTAACTCTCAAAAATAGTGAACTTCCCCCTCTAACTAGCAGCAACACTGTTTGGCTCCAACCCTTGGCTTATTTTCACATATCCATAAACCAGGAGGCCTGGCTTTAGCCAGGTCTCCCAGATAACCGAATGAAAAAGAACCTCAAATCTCTTTATCTGCTTCACTGATTTCCTGGGCCAATTGGTTTGTCCTGCCTCTACATACTCTGGAAACAAACCCAAAATTTGGGGCCATGTCAGACATGCTTACTCTTCACTTGAAGATGGTTTTGATAAGTTTCCTATCCTTTCTGAAGAGCCCTGGGGTCCTCAGAGCCCCAAGGTGTTGCCTTCACTTCAGTCACTGTCTGGTGGCTCCCTTGCTCTGCCAGTCTGGGTACCCCTTTCTTCACCTCTCGCTTTAAATGTCTGTTTTGTAGCATAGTGGCCTTCCCCAAACCATTTTCCTACCTCTTCAGGCTTGCCAGTCCCTTGCCTCCTCCTCTGTGGCAAATCTTCCTTATCTCTCTCCCTCTCTGCTGTCTCAGCTTCTTCTTTTCCCCTCTTCCTTCCTGCTATACTCTGTTCTCCTTCTCCCTCAAACCATCTTTCCTTCCTCAAATTCTCACCCCAGGTTCCTTCTCCCCTTGCCCTGGGACCTGCCTCAAATATATCAGCAGCTTCCCTTTCCTCCTGCTGCTGGGAACAACATATTGAGCCTTTCCCCCCACCCATCTCATTTTCCGGGCCACCCAGTCCACCTTCAGGCTGAAAAAGGGTGCCGTGCACTATGATCTCCCAATGACTGTAGCGTCAAGTGAAGCCTTGCATATCTGAACTAACATAATGTCAGCTCAAAAGTCATAGTTAGAAGAAAGCTATGTGCTTGGGTGAGAGAAGTCTGTTTATTTATGTGTAGGCATTAACAATGAAATAACACTCAAAGCTGTCTCTCTGTAGCTGCTGTCATGGCTAGCTGCCCAAGGAGGGAGGGAGTTGCCTTGTTTCTCAGAGATCCCCGCTAAATTGCTAATTTCGTTTACAGTTCTTTATCTTCAGACCTCATGAAGCTTTGCGGCGAAGTCAAGCCTAAAAACAAGGTAAGATGTGTGGATACTAATATAGAAGTCTTTTGTGCAGTTATGGCATCTTCTGTTACCTCCTTCCACCCCTACCCCCAAAACACAAGTACCGCTTAAACAATTTTTGCAACCTTTCTGGTTTGCGTGACACCAGGAGCTCATCTATGGCTTAGCGAGAGATTAAAATGAACCTGAGAGGAGTGAAGAGGCTGTGAGCTCTGATATTGTACAGCCTTAGTTTGGCTTAACATGTTGTGCAAATCAGCTCCCTCCCAAAAAGCAGAAATGACTTTTGCACTAAGCTTGGGTTTTTTTTGCATTTCATGTGTCTGTCAGCGGTCTGGGCTACAGTGAAACTAGGGAAGGCTCCTAAGCTTGCTTTGGGAATCCTGATTCTGGCCAGGTACTGAAGGTGAATCTGGAAGTAGATCTGGTACTTAGTAATGGTGACAGATTTTTTTTTTTTATAGCAAAGTAAAATGGAGCAGATTTGTATTTTTAAATTGTAGTCAGGCAGGGTTTAGGGATAAGGACCCTGGGATCAAGCACACATACAATATATGCAAACTGTTTTGTGCTTTGTGCAAAAGTGTTTTTATTCTCCTCTTCCAATTGATTGCAGGCCCGCCGTAGAACGACGACCCAGATGGAATTGCTTTATGCTGATAGCAGTGAGCTAGCCAGTGATATAACCCTTGAAGTCAGTGCAGACAGCACGGCTATGGCTGGCCCTCTTCCGCCTGTTGCAGAAGCTCAGGAAGGTGCAGTGAACATTGACCTGAGAGAGCCTGCTGTTAGGGACAGGGAGGCCTCGCAGGCAGCCTTGCCTTCTAAGACTGGCGGCATGTAAGTTTCACACAATGCACTAACTTTCGTTTGGCATCCTAACATGCATGATTGCTAGGTTGCAACGACCCGTGGCTTTTTATGAACTCTGCCTGGAGTGCTAATTAGGATCTCAACAGGGAAAATCTGTCGCCGTCGTCATCCTCTTAACTTCTGCTCTGCTGTTACCTCAAAATGGCTGCTTAGTTTTTTAAGTTGATCTTCTTTTTCCCCCTTTGGTAAGCACTAATTCATGTACCATAAGCCCCAGTTTCTGCAAGATTTTTTTTTTTAGTGCTGCTGTAAAACCTAATTGTTTTAAAGTCTATCTGAAATACTTTGAATGGAGTGGATCCATTAGATCAGGGATGTCCAACAGGTCGGTCGCGATCTACTGGTAGATCGCCGTGATGTTTTGGTAGATCGTGGTTGATCTCTGGCTCCCTTTCCTCTGCGTAGGTAAATCTGACTTCTGCCTCACCCCCTTGTCCTGCCCTCCATTGTTGTTTCAACTCAGGAAGGGAAGACGGAGCTTCCATGTCATCCATAGCAATGTTTTTGTGAGTGACTTAACCCCTAGTTCCCTTGCCTTCCCCCCCAAAAAACGGAACTCCCTTCTCCAAAGAAGCCTGCACCTTAATTCCCCCCAAAACGGAGCTTTTCTCCTCCCCAAAAAAGCTCAACAACTTTGAACTGCACCCCTAAAAAGACAGGGGTAGATCACTGCCAGATTTTAATTCTGAAAGTAGATCGCAGTCTCTTGGGAGTTGGCCATCCCTGCATTAGATCATATCCGATGTGGCTCTTCTACTCATTTGATCTGCTCATATGATCCAGCAGAAGCACCCACTTGCTTAGATAGCAGGCCCCTGAAAATCTGTTCCTGAAGTCCGGGAAGACGCTCTAAAACAGTATGGAAGGTTGTGGCGGAGGCTGCCCTTTCTTTTAAGTTATTAGAGGTCTCTGCTAGGTGAAGTCGGTCCACAAACAGAATGGAAACATTGGCCATCTCCCCATTGAAGTGAACTTCCATTACGTGTTTTTAAAATATCTTGGGACCCTAGCAATATCATACTCCATTTTTGCTGCTGCATATGATGGCACACAGAAAGTTGAGACTGACAGCTTAGGCAAACGCCCCATGAAGCGTTCCACTTGTTTTCCAAACATGAGCTGCATTCTTTATGTAAATGGTATTGGTTAATTAAGGTTCATGAGACTACTGTTAGCAGTTAGCAGGTAAAGGGACCCCTGACCATTAGGTCCAGTCATAGACGACTCTGGGGTTGCGGTGCTCATCTCGCTTTGCTGGCCGAGGGAGCAGGGGTACAGCTTCCGGGTCATGTGGCCAGCATGACTAAGCCACTTCTGGCAAACCAGAGCAGCGCACGGAAACGCCGTTTACCTTCCCGCCGGGAAGGTATTTATCTACTTGCACTTTGACGTGCTTTCGAACTGCTAGGTGGGCAGGAGCTGGGACCAAACAACGGGAGCTCACCCCGTTGTGGGGAGTCGAACCGCCGACCTTCTAGGCTCTGTGGTTTAACCCACAGCGTGTAGGAATCTTTTTCCTGCACCACAAAGGAATTTTGAACTAGATTATGTAAAATAACACAGAACTTTTTAGATACAAATCCCTTCACATATATGAGGAAGATCTTGGTAAAATTAACTAAATTGTGAACAGTGAAAAATATGTGTAACTTCCTGTATTAATCTACTTGCTACAATAAAGCTATTGATTCTTTTTGCAGCAGCAAGCAGCTCAGAATGATTTCTAATAATTTCACTTTTTATGCATGTTGCTTGTGGCAGTAGAAGTAAGCATTAAAATGCTCCTGGGAGGCACTGTTATTAACAGTCTTGGCTTCAATGCTTTTGCAACCACTCTTTAAAAAAATGCTTTACTCAGGGTAAACAGTAAAGTGTAAAGACTGAGAACCCAGCAATGATCTTCGAGCATCACACAACTTACAAAAATCAGTTATTTTGCCATGGAATCCAGGGTCCAGGTAATCTTCCCCCTCCCCACTGCTGCAATTTTTAACACATTTCTTTAGTTTTTGAAGTCAGTGTACTGAGTCCCTTTGCTCCAGTGCAATATTTGTTTGCTTTTAGTTTCCACAACAAATGCAAAAGTGTTTAAAATGGGTTGATTTACTGAGAACCACTTTTAATTTATTTTAGGGTGTACTCCTAAGATGCTTAAAGTCAGGGGTGGGGAATCTCTGGCTCACCTGCCTAATCAGGGCCACCAGTTGCCCCCTCCCCATTTGGCCCGTGAGGCCTTTTTGGGTCAAGCCATGCCCCCTGCCCCGCACATGACGTCATGTATGACATCACTGAGCAAGAGGTCATGCATGATGTCACGTGTGGAGCAGGTAAGGGCAAGGCTCTGGGGAAATGGCATTTTCAGAGATTGAAAGGGTGTCTGTAAAGCTTTGAAAAGGGCTTCTGAAGACCCCTGTGGACCAAAACATCACTGTGTCGTCAAGCAATTTGCAGGTAGGCGACTCTGCTTGTCTTTGCCTCAGTCCCTTATCTTCATAGCATTATTTCCAGATGCTGGCCATCTTAGTAAAAAGGTAAAGGGACCCCTGACCATTAGGTCCAGTCGTGGCCGACTCTGGGGTTGCGGCGCTCATCTCGCTTTATTGGCCGAGGGAGCCGGCGTACAGCTTCCGGGTCATGTGGCCAGCATGACTAAGCTGCTTCTGGCGAACCAGAGCAGCGCACGGAAACGTCGTTTGCCTTCCTGCTGGAGCAGTACCTATTTACCTACTTGCACTTTGATGTGCTTTCGAACTGCTAGGTTGGAAGGAGCTGGGACCGAGCAACGGGAGCTCACCCCGTCGCGAGGATTCGAACCGCCGACCTTCTGATCGGCAAGTCCTAGGCTCTGTGGTTTAACCCACAGCGCTACCCACGTCCCATAGACTTTACTTACCCATTCAGGAATCAAGTGATAAGCAATGCATATATGAACCAGCTCTGACTTGCAACTGAATATATACAAAGCTTCCACTGAAATCTTGTGACTGGGGTGAAATGAAGAAGTAATTTGGAAACTTGGACAATGATGGCATGGACTTAAATGTCGTATATGAAGAACAATCAGAGCAGCTGGACAAAGGGAACTTGAAAGCACCTAATGCCATTTTGCTATTTTTTTAAATGTATACTTGTGAATTTACCTCAAAACATTCGTTTATTTATTTTTGTCTGCTTCTGTTGTATAGAATTGGAACTCAGAGTGTAAAAAGAAAGAAAATAAAATACAGTGAAGAGAATAAGAAATAGGCAATGTTTTCTGTTCTCTCAGGTCTAGGCAGTCATCTCTGACAGAAAAGAAACTACCAGAACCCTCACCTTTATCAAAGAGAAAAACCTATGAGAAATCTCCAGATAAACCAAAGTCAAAAGAGCAAAAACAGTAAGATATATATGTATAGATATTGTATATTAATAAACATAATGTTGCTTGAGAGTTACAAATATTGAAAGCATTGTTGTCAGGGTAAAATGTAAGCCACGTGGAGCTCCTTGGGAGAAAAATGGGATATAAATGCAATAGATAAATACTTGTTTTCCTTCAAGAAGTTTCTTTTCATTGCATTGAATATCAATGCAACATCTGTCATTTTTTTTTTAAGGCTTCGATGTCTTTGAAAGATACACAGCCCTATATTTTTTCATCCTTGAATTCTTTCATTTTACTCTGCCCTTTTCTAGGTATTGCTTAACTTTTAAAAATCAATAAATGTTTGAGTACACTGCCATCTTGTGGCCAGCAGATTTTAAAAAATAACTGTGTAAGGATTATATTTCTGTTCTGCCAGGGGAGCATGCAAACTGCATTTCTTAATTAAGCAAGCAGGGCACCAATGAGTTGTTCTGAGGCATGTTTCATTAGTTTTTTTTAACCTCTCTAACAATTTCATTTTCTTTTTTTTCCCCCTTTTAATTTGAAGAGGCTTTTAATGTTTGATTTTTTTCTTGTAGCTCAGATTCTGGAACCTCAGAGGCTAGTCTGTCACCTCCTTCCTCCCCACCAAGCCGGCCCCGTAATGAACTGAATGTTTTTAGTCGTCTCACTGTTTCTCAGGGAAACACATCAGTTCAGCTGGATAAGTAAGTCGCAAAGGGAAAGACCAGATTCCCACATCGCCCAAGGCGCACATAATAAGCCGAAAACAAAGCTACAAAATGTTAATGTTCTGGCTCTCTCTGGCCAGGGACTGAAAGTATAATTGCTATTTCTCCTCTTGTTTGTCCCTACTCCCAACCTCTCAAAGTAGCTTTTTAGAAATGGCATGGAATTGCCACGGTTCCATCTCTGGTTTCCTGATGAATCTTATTTCTTGTGCTTCTATATTAGTTAAAGGTAAAGGGACCCCTGACCATTAGGTCCAGTCGTGGCCGACTCTGGTGCTCATCTCACTTTATTGGCCGAGGGAGCCGGTGTACAGCTTTTGGGTCATGTGGCCAGCACGACTAAGCCGCTTCTGGCAAACCAGAGCAGCGCACAGAAATGCTGTTTACCTTCCCGCCAGAGTGGTACCTATTTATCTACTTGCACATGACGTGCTTTCGAACTGCTAGGTTGGCAGGAGCAGGGACCGAGCAACGGGAGCTCACCCCGTCGTGGGGAATCAAACCGCTGACCTGATCAGCAAGTCCTAGGCTCTGTGGTTTAACCCATAGCACCACCCGCGTCCCTTATATATGAGTTATATTCCCTCTAAACCAGGGCTGGGGCCTGCTCAAGAGGCGCAGGGAGAAGGTTGCTTCAAGGCAGCAGACCAGCTGAGAAGGGCGCTGCCATTACATGCTCACTGCCCAACCACCCATCCACCACTGCCTGATCCTCTCTGGCTTTCTTTTACCCCAGCCCATCTCAAGGCAGTTGTGGGGCAGAGTGGCCTTTTCAGCTTGCACCGTCTGTTTTTCCATGCCGTGTCCTTTTAAGTCTCAAGAGTACTTCTTTACTAGGCTCAACAGCACAGCGACTCGGCGGGTGTCAGTATTCTTACAGTTAGGGTGTTCCTACACAAATGAATTTTCCAGGTGCTCTCATTCAGCACCCATAAACAACATGTCTTAGGGTAAAAAAATAAGATAATTCCTTCTAGTAGCTCCTTAAAGGTAAAGGGACCCCTGACCTTTAGGTCCACTCGTGACCGACTCTGGGGTTGCGGCGCTCATCTCGCTTTATTGGCTGAGGGGGCCGGCGTACAGCTTCCGGGTCATGTGGCCAGCATGACTAAGCCGCTTCTGGCGAACCAGAGCAGCACACGGAAATGCCGTTTACCTTCCCGCCGGAGCGGTACCTATTTATCTACTTGCACTTTGATGTGCTTTCGAACTGCTAGGTTGGCAGGAGCAGGGACCGTGCAACGGGAGCTCACCTCATCGCAGGGATTCGAACCGCCGACCTTCTGATTGGCAAGTCCTAGGCTCTGTGGTTTAACCCACAGTGCCCCCCGCATCCCTAGTAGCACCTTAGAGACCAACTAAGTTTGTCATTGGTATGAGCTTCCGTGTCTGCATGCACATGAAGAAGTGTGCATGCGCATGAAAGCTCATACCATTGACAAACTTAGTTATCTGAAGAAGTGTGTATGCACATGAAAGCTCATACCAATGACAAACTTAGTTATCTGAAGAAGTGTGTATGCACATGAAAGCTCATACCAATGACAAACTTAGTTATCTGAAGAAGTGTGTATGCACATGAAAGCTCATACCAATGACAAACTTAGTTATCTGAAGAAGTGTGTATGCACATGAAAGCTCATACCAATCACAAACTTAGCTGATCTCTAAGGTGCTACTGGAAGGATGTCTTAGGGTAGAGCTATTGGCATAGGATAGGACCCAGAGGGGGACATCTCAATTCCGCTAGCTTCCAAGTGTTATTTTTCTCATGTGACGACATATTTGAGTTGATCCAGAATCTCTCTTGCAAGATTGCTGAACTTCAGACGCTGTCCAGTTTTGTTTAACTCTCAGTTTTTCATTGTAGGCTGGTGGCTTTTTTTCTTTTTTACTCCTGTTGCTGATCTTTCTGCTGTTGCGATCTAATGTTTTCCCCGGCAAGTCTGCAGCTACTATACATATCTCTAACAGTTGCTTGCAAATGTCCCCGTAGTTTAAGCCCATGCTTGTAGCTGTTTTATATACCAGCTAAAAGTAGTAACCATTCTAAAGCTGCCAATACACTAATGGAAATACTGGATTGTATCCAACTAAGTTCTGCTCAGAGTACATCCACTGAGAACAATGGACCTGTGCTAACTTTGCGGATTCATTTCAATGAGTAGTAGACATATACTACTCTGAGTATGGCTAAATTGGATACAACCTATTGACATTTACGGCTGTTTTGTATGCTTTGAGCTTTAGCAATTGTAACCCAGAATCAAAATTTTGGCACGTTAGATTTCTTATCAAAACAAAGGCTTCAATATCCTTAATTGTTAAAGGAATACTGCTATGTTTTAAATCCGGATGATTTTTTAAATCAAAGCAAAAATAACACGACCAAATCTCAATTTAGCTTTTTGGGGAAAACACACATCTTTTTTTATTTTAAACTAGATAACTGTAATTTTGAACATGGTTCCAAAGCAGATACCAGCACCCTTAGATTCCCCCCCACCCCTGCTCATAATGCATGCACTAATTAACATAAACGCAAGCAGGCACGCTGCAGCCATTTTATCAGGATCTCCCCCAACCGAGTTCTGTAAGGATTCTTGAGGAAGCTGGAAATGGCTTGCACAAGAGTCTCTATGATATGAACAGTAACTGGGGAAAGATACAGATTTTGCGGCTCACTCCCCCAGAGTTACTGAACTCAGTAAAGTCTGCAAAGTGGTGCAGCCTCCTTACATAGCGATGCGATTGTTCATTCTTTTTGCAATGGAATCTTTACTCTGCTGATGCCTGTATTCTTTTTCCGTAATCCTACCACCGTTCATTGTAGGTCTGATGAAAGTGATTCCTCTCTCTCGGAGGTACACAGGTACTCTCTCTTCCTCCTTTCCATCTTCTGGAATCTTATTGATATGTTTAATACCTTACTGCAGTTCTTAAGTTAACTAACTCTTTTCTGCATGGCTTTCTTTATTCCGTGTCCCCCTCCAAAACATTCATATGTTCCTTGCATCGTTTTATTTTTATTGTGATGGAAACGTGAAACATTTGGTGCGGGTTTTTTCTTTGTCTAGCATGTGTACTTTTTATAGCATTCAGTGGGCAAAAATTTGTGTGTGTGTGGTTCACTTCTTTTTGTTTAAACACATTTTTTTCTTTCTTTTAAATCCCTGGAAAACACGATAGGTCAATATACACCTTTTTTGTTGTCCTCAATCTGCTTTGTTGATAGCGAAAAGCTATATTGAACTGTGTGGTAAAAGTCAGGTGTGTTTTTTCGTATATCCTGTGCCGTTGTTCACAATAATATTGTATTCTAAAGATGGGCAGAATAACATCTCTGAAGGGAAAAATCTGTTTCACCAAAAAAGAGCAAATAGCAGTAATTACAAGCATTTTTATTTCCTACAGCTCAGGTACTGAGCAGAGATAACTTTGTTTCCTTTCTATAAATAAAGAGGATAGGAGATATATAAGCAACTTCTAAATGAGCCAAATACAGAAAAGGATAGGAGTTCCATTTCTTATTCTCCTGAATTCAGATTACATGTTCAGACAAATTGGCCCTGTATGCACTATACATTTACAGCAGTGTCATACTACTTTAAGCATCCATCGCCTCTCACCACCACCCCCCTGTTCCAAATCCTAGGATTTATAGTTTGTTCCAGGTGCTGAGTGTACTTAGGAAAACTCTATTCACCTCATAGATTTACATCTCACAGAGTGGTTTAACAATCAATAATCCCTCTTCCCTGGGAACTGTAGCTTTGTAAGGGGAATAAAGGTAAAGGGGACCCCTGACCATAAGGTCCAGTCGTGGCCGACTCTGGGGTTGCGGCGCTCATCTTGCTTTACTGGCCGAGGGAGCCGGCATACAGCTTCCGGGTCATGTGGCCTGCATGATTAAGCCACTTCTGGCAAACCAGAGCAGCGCACGGAGACGCCGTTTACCTTCCTGCCAGAGCGGTACCTATTTATCTACTAGTATTTTGATGTGCTTTCGAACTGCTAGATTGGCAGGAGCAGGGACTGAGCAACGGGAGCTCACCCCGTCGCGGGGATTCGAACCGCCGACCTTCTGATCAGCAAGCCCTAGGCTCTGTGGTTTAACCCATAGCGCCACCTGCGTCCCGTGAGGGGAATAGGGCTCTCTTAAGTACACTCACCACCCTTAACAAACTACAGTTCCCAGATTCTTTGAGGGAAGCCATGGCTGTTTAAAGCTGTAAAAGTATGGTGCGATGGGGCCATGGGTAGGATCAACTGCATTCTCATATTTTTCAGCTGTGTGTGAGCTTTTATATTGCACACACAGCTCCTCTGCCTGCAACAGCTCCTCCATTCATTTAAACCGAGGAAGTAGGTCAATGTGCGCATCTCTCAGCACATCCACTTTTTCTCCTTGATGTTTGTCACAGTACTTTGGACAGTCATCCCCCTTTCTCTCTCCAGTACGGTCATTTGTAAGGGTTTCCTTGTAGTTGTTGTTTTTATGTTAGTTTATTGCGTATCAGCCACACAACCTATGCACTACCCTTTCAAAGGATATATGTAACCTCTTCTCTGCTGTGTCACCTGAGAATTCTGCTGAAGTCTTCTACTCTTCTCTTTCTTGCTGATACCTGGTTGCACTATGCATGTCTACAGTCCACTTTAGGGTGTGTGTGTGGTTTTTTTTAAAAGCAAGCAACGTCACTGGGCTTTCAATAGGCATTTCTGCAATCGTTTATTGTGTCTGAAATGCTGGAGCTTCAAAGCAGCAGGGAATTCAGTTTCTCCCCTGTTCGAAAGCAATTGCATTTGTAAGGAAAATCTGGAATTGGGTCCAATTCTTCCTTAAGTGCCACATCAGGTTAGAAGACTGCATGCATCTACCTTGACTATACATTTCTTGCCAGGATAACTTCAACTGCATTTCTCAAAATGTATATGCTACTCACTTCCTTCTGACTTGGCATCCAATTTAATACTTTCACTTAAATTTAACACACACACACACACACACACACACACACACACAGCTCACCTTTCTGCCCACTAAGGAGGCTTCAAGGGGTATTGGCTAAAATACATTTTAGCTTTGACTTAACTACTGTTAATTCTGCCATGGATGCAACGCTTTTGTTAACGGAACCCAAAACTGCATGCAGGCTGAAAGTCAATTTAGTTCAGGGATGAGGAGGAACCTGTTGCTCTCTAGATGTTGCTGGTCATCAACTTGCCTCATTCCTGATCATTAGCTATGTTGGCTGGGACTGATCGGAGTTGAATACCAACAACATTCAGATGGTATGGGGTTCTCCAGCCCTGGATCAGTTTTTTATGTATCCAGTCAGTCTAAGCACCCATTCAGATTTCTGTAAAGGCTAAGCCCTTCATAGAAAACTGAGTTGAAAACATGGGAAATTTTCCTCACCTGAAATGGCCTCCATGAGAAGATAAGCAAAGGCATCCTTTCAGGGAGAATACTGGCCTTCAATCCTTCCATCCCACATGGACGATTCCTTCATGCATTTATTTGTGCAGTTTCCCTGCTACCTTTCTGCTCTGTCAGGGACCCAAAGAGATGAACCAAAACAGAACGCAAGAATCCAACAATATTATACAGTGGTACCTTGGTTGTCGAATGTAATCCGTTCCGGAAGACCGTTTGACTTCCAAAATGTTAGACAACCGAGGCGCAAAGGGGTGGCTGCAAGTTCAATTGGAAAAATTCAACTTCCGAGGCGCGTTCGAAAACGGAAACAATTACTTCCGGGTTTTCGGTGTTCGGGTTCCGAAACGTTCGGCTTCCGAGACACTCAAAAACCAAGGTACCACTGTAAAAGTCATAATTGGTGGCAGACCTTGGGGTCTTGAATTTCAGCAGCGACCTGTGTGACACCAAAATTCAGGGGCCCCCTCCTCTCATGCTCCATTCTAAATCATAGTTGGGGCATTCCCTGTGGTTCCCCAAGGCTCTGAACCCAGTTCGGTGTGTTAATGTGTGAAATGGTTCCCTGCTGGAAATCCATGGCATCAACAGATTCTAAGACGACCAGTCCTTGTTCCAGAAAATTGAGATTGTGATCTGATTCGTCAGGGCTCTCACTGTATTCTTAAACAAGGCCTGCTCAAGGTTTAAAGCAAGCAAAGGGTTGCCAAGCAGGTTGAGTACATAGCCAGGTAAACAGAGAGTACACATAGAAGCTCTCACATCTGAGGGTTGTGGGGTCCACTCTGGCTTGCAATGGAAACATTCCATGCTAAAAGCAACATGCAAGCTGCTTTCAACATGATGAACATCCCCTGACCTCTGCTTCTGCTTCCCAAGGCAGCTGCCTCCTGAACTGCCTATATGGTTGAGTTGGCCCTGAAAGCATTAATTTTTAAATTTAGTGCAAAAAATTGTAAGAGACCAGATGCATGGAAAAACATTCCCCTTCTATACAAATGAGTGTAGCAGAATTCACATGACTTTAATCTAGCTGCTTTCTTGCAAATCAAGCAGTACTAAAGGAATCAAACCAATAAGGGCTAAATTCAACCAGAGCCCACAGAGAAAAATTGTACCGCACGACTTCCAGGGGCGGAAATTGGTATCGGCTCAAATTTGAATCCCCTCAACAATTGAGCTAAAGGTGTGGCTTTAAAAACGTCAAACACAGCATGTATGACATTATAAAATTAGAACCTTTCGTTTGGGGGGAAAAACGCATCACAATTTTAATGAAGTTTTTTCTACCAGATATTCTTATTCAGCTGACCATGTTCTAGATGAGCTGGTTTCTCTGGCACAGAATTTGGATCTGTATGAGTGGGTGGTCTGGATTGCAGAAGGCACCCAATGCCCTAATCTGATGGAATTCTGGAAAGTCAGAATTCTGGAGTTGGAAGAGACTAGTCCAACCCCTGCAATGCAGAAATCTTTCACCTAAAATGGGGCTCAAACCCAGAACCCTGAGATGTGCTGTTCCTCAGCTTTTGCAGAGCAATGCCAGTGGGTGCTCTTGGCTCAACAAAATGATCAGGGTTGACCCCACCGTCAGTGCTAGTGGTGGAAATGTCCTTTGTGGTAGGAGCAGAATACTTGAGCTTACAGTCTGCTGTATATAAATAGGTCAACACATTTGCCTGCCTTATTCTACAGATCCCTGTAAGATCTCTCAGGAGCCTAGCAGGGTGGGGAAAATGTATGATGTACGATGGAGAAATGACCTGTCACAAATTCTAATCCATTGTATCATTTGTTTCCTTTTCTAGAGGCATAATCAACCCATTCTCTTCGTCCAAATGCGTCAGATCTTCTCCAATTCATTGTATCCACATTGCTGAAGGTCATACGAAGGCTGTGCTTTGTGTCGATTCTACTGACGACCTCCTCTTTACAGGATCAAAAGGTTTGACGAGTCTCTTGTTGGTCTTGCAGCTTTCTGAATCCTCTTCATATACCGATGGGGCTACCCAAAGAGAGAAAGCTGACTACTAAGAAGGGAGGCAAGCAATTGATGGAGAGATCCACCGTGAGGCAGTGTCTTTATCACAAATAATTGCTAGCTTTGGAGTTTTGCAGAATTCTTCATCAGGCCAGAAGTTAAAGAAGGCAGGGAGTACAAGAGGCTGGCTTGATATTGAAGCCACAGTCTGGAGTGGTGATTCACCAAGCACAGAAACTTCCTGGGAAAGAGGAATTTGGGTGTCCTGAGGTGTCCTGAGAACTAACGCATTGTGCTCTTCGTGGAGCTCTCTTCAAGGCTATTCACAAGCCACTGTTGTTTCAGAGTGAGGCAGCTAAGTAGTTTTGTGTACAGGCTGCAAGGAATATAGAACACTGGTTCTGTGAGAGCTTCGCTGGTAGAGATTGAAGGTTTTCCCTTTCAAGGGTCTGTGGCTGGAAAGTCAGTTCACCACAGAGAGAGAGGGGGCTGAATCAAGAAAGACTTTATTTTGTGTGCATGAAAGGTAGAAGCACTGGTGCAAGTAACACCATACCACACCTAGGATTTCAAAACAGATTCAGTTACAGATAGGTAGCCGTGTTGGTCTGCCATAGTCAAAACAAAAAAATTCCTTCCAGTAGCACCTTAAAGACCAACTAAGTTAGTTCTTGGTGTGAGATTTCGTGTGCATGCACACTTCTTCAGATACACTGAAACAGAAGTTGCCAGATCCTTCTATATAGTGAGAAGGTGGGGAGGGGTATTACTCAGAAGGGTGGTGGGAATGGGTGATTGGCAGATAGCTGAGATGAGCCTGTTGACGACTCTTAACGACTGCAATAGGTCTTACAGGAAAAAGCAAGGGGTGAGAAGGTGAAAAATGGCTTAGTCATGTATAATGAGATAAGAATCCAATGTCTTTGTTCAGACCAGGTCTTTCCATGGTTTTAAGTTTGGTAATGAGTTGTAATTCAGCAGCTTCTCTTTCCAGTCTATTTGTGAAATTCCTTTGTAGTAAAACAGCTACTTTGAGATCTTGTATGGAATGTCCTGGGAGATTGAAGTGTTCTCCTACTGGTTTCTCTGTCTTGTGATTCCTGATATCAGATTTATGTCCGTTTATTCTTTGGCGTAAGGTTTGGCCTGTTTGTCCAATATAGAGAGCTGGAGGACACTGTTGGCATTTGATGGCATACACAATGTTAGACGATGAGCAATTAAATAGTCCCGAGATGGTATGTGTGATGTTGTTGGGGCCAGTAATGGTGTTGTCCGGGTGTATGTGGCAGCAAAGTTGGCATCTGGGTTTATTGCAGGCTCTGGTGCCAGTGTCTGTGTTAGGTCTGGTTGTAGTATTGTTGTGGGTTAGAAGTTGTTTAAGATTGGGTGGCTGTCTGTAGGCAATGAAAGGTCTTCCTCCCAGAGCTTGAGAAAGAGAACTGTCATTGTCCAGGAGAGGTTGTAGATCTCTGATGATGCGTTGTACTGTTTTAACTTGGGAGCTGTAAGTGATGACTACAGGTGTTCTGTTATTTTCTTTTTTGGGTCTGTCTTGCAGCAAGTTCTCTCTGGGTATCAGTCTGGTTTTGTTGATCTGTTGTCTAACTTCATCTGCTGGGTATTTTAGTTCCAAAAAGGTTTGCTGTAGATCTCTTAGGTGAGAGTCTCTGTCTGTAGAATTGGAACAGATACGGCTGTAACGTAGTGCCTGGCTATATACAATGGACTGTTTGGTATGTTTGGGATGGTAACTAGAGGCATGTAGATATGTTTGTCGGTCAGTAGGTTTACGGTATAAGGTGGTGTCTATGCGCCCATCCTGTATTTTTATAGTAGTGTCCAAAAAATGTATTTCTTGCATAGATTGATTCATTGTTAGGTTGATTGTGGGGTGAAAATCATTAAATTTCTGGTGGAAGGTGTCCAGGGTCTGTTGACCATGTGTCCAGATGATAAAAATATTGTCAATGTATCACAGGTACAAGAGAGGTTTGAGTGGGTAGGAGTTTAGGAAACGTCGTTCTAAATCTGCCATGAAGATGTTGGCATACTGTGGGGCCATGCGGGTGCCCATTGCTGTGCACCCGCATGGCCCCAACTGAAACAGATTCAGTTATAGTGTCACAAAACACAGAAAGATTCAGAGCAGCCATCTGTGGCATTGCTAATAGCGTACATAAGCTTTTATGGCACATTACATACATCGCCCCAACTCCTGAGGCATGCACATTGTGAACAGGCAATGTCCTCAGCACGCTCCCTGCATAATCATCTTGAAGACAACTGACCATTGCTATTCCTTATATTGCCATACCCTGCTTAAGCAAGTATTACCCAAGTGTTGTCTCCAACCCTCTTAGTTCATCCTTTCTCCTGTTACACCTTATATAGCAAGCTAAACATTTCACATAGGAAGTTCCCGAATTAGCAAACAGGCCATTTCACCACGGACCACAGTCATTTCATGACCTTTCCTTCCTTACTTACCAAAACCAAGCAAAAGGGCGATTCTAAATAAAAGGGATTTCCCCTTTATCATTATTCAGCGTCTCTTCAAGATGTAATGAAATCTCCACAGCAAAATTGGGAACCAAACAAGAGTATGTTAAAAGACCAGTGAAGCCTACTGTAATATAAAATACAATATAAAATGCATAAGAAATGTGTATGGTGCTCTTATGGGGCTTCTTACTCCTGCAATTTAGTGGTGATTGGGTGGTATCTAAGTTGTTTTACACACCAAAACAGTATATCTGTGTTGCACAGTATATTACAATGTTATCCGCTTTTTAATTTGCTGTTCTTGTTCTGCTTTCTTTTTGTTTAGATCGCACATGTAAAGTATGGAATTTGGTGACTGGACAGGAAATAATGTCTCTGGGTGGTCATCCGAACAATGTAGTATCTGTAAAATACTGCAATTATACTAGCTTGGTCTTCACAGTCTCCACATCTTATATTAAGGTGTGGGACATCCGCGATTCTGCTAAGTGTATCCGAACACTAACGTAAGTTGAACTCCGAAAAACAGAATTTTAATATTAACATTTGGCATACCATTTTGCAGTAAGCGGTAAGAAAATTGTACTTAACGTTATATATAGTTAATCTTAAATCTCTTAGACTAAAACCCAGCTACTTTGTTGTAAAACCCATTGAGTTGAAAAATTGAATGAATTTACTAATTTTAAGATGTGCAGCCTAATACAGATTGCCGTGTCTTATAGTGTGGAGGAGTGGGGGATACAAGAAAGAAAAAGTAGATGCTGTATTTTGTTGTTTTAATGTCTGCTTCCAGGTGGGCACTTAGCACCTGGGTAGCATATAGTAGAGGCTTTATGGACAAAAATGATGAGCTTAGTGAAGATGGCAAGTAGAAAAGGCTGAAAGAAAGGGATGTGAGGTAGCAGGAAGAGTTTTGTTTCTCAGCAAGTTCTGAGTTCACCTCACCCAGTCTCTCCTGTCTCAGGAGTTGTTGTGTGGCGAGTTCCTGCCTCCCATCAGTAGAAATAAAGACACAAGACACATTATTTTAGGTTAATGGGCTAAAATTGGCCACAACTTTATTGGTTACAGGTAAAGAGCAGTATTGGCTTAGGCATTGGTCCTATCCGACTATTCGGCTTCAGCCAGTTTGCTTGAAGACCGGGAAGGGTTAACACCAGCAGGGGGAGCCCTGCTGATGCACATCAACTAGGTACTCCCCAGGGTCACCAATTGGGGGCGTGGTTTAGGCCCTAGCCTCCATAGGCTTCGGACAGGGCCACGCCCCCCGGAATCCTTTACCGGACTACCCTTCAATATTTGGGGGAGGTGATGGCGCTCCCCCCCCACATCCTCTTAACCCCTTCTTGCCAATGCCTAACCGCCAATGCCGAGGAGTTGTGACAAGTTGCTACGAGGTAGGCGAAAAACCAAATGGCCGGTGCCAATTTGCCAAGTGGAAGAAATTCCTACCAGGCCCCTTAACGGCGACCAACCGAGGTCCATAGCAAAGTCAGAAAGCGAAACTTAAAAGGGCGGGCGGGCGCCAGCCCCCGCGCACGTGTTGGGGGCGTGAAGCCTGCAACAGCCACCTCCTCCCAAGGTCAGAAGTGGCTTTATAGAAAGTCAGACTATGGATTTCACTTTACTTTGAAAGCTTCTCCAAAACTACAGGGCAATGTCTTTTCTGCTCCTGTTTCCTGATACCTTTTTAGCCAGAGAGTAATCTGGCACGGGAAAGCATATAGTCTACCACTGACTTTTGAGGCATCAGTTTACATTTCAAGTTTCCCCCTACATACTGACGTCTTCAATTCATACATGCAATTCATACATGCATCCTGGTCGTGTGATGGCTCAGTCCATGTGCCAATTTTTAGAACTCTTGATTTTTTGGAGACGTCTGAAATGGATTGATTACTTACACATGGTTTTGGGCAGTGCTTTTTTCTGGGGGTGTGTGCAGGGGTACGCATCCCCCCTAAACATTTTGCGAATCTTTGTACTTTTGTCCATTTACTGTATTTATTTTTCCCAATTTGAACTATAAAATTCTGATTTTCTTGAGTCAAAATGAGAGTACCCCTAAATGTTTTTTTAAGGAAAAAAGCATCTGGTTTGGGGACTATTTTATTTGCTGTAACTAGAACTAGAACTAGAAAAGTCAGCAAACATTCGTCATATTGTGGCATTTGATTCTCCCTTGTACTCTTGAACCTGAAAGGCTCACCATAACCATGTCTGTCATTTCCCCCAGTTGCCTGCTTAGAATATTTGGGCTAGACTGGGCAATCAATATACAAATGAGATATACCGTATTTTTCGCTCTATAAGACGCACCAGACCACAAGACGCACCTAGTTTTTGGAGGAGGAAAACAAGAAAAAAAATATTCTGAATCTCAGAAGCCAGAACAGCAAGAGGGATCGCTGCGCAGTGAAAGCAGCGATCCCTCTTGCTCTTCTGGCTTCTGGGATAGCTGCGCAGCCTGCATTCGCTCCATAAGACGCACACACATTTCCCCTTACTTTTTAGGAGGGAAGAAGTGAGTCTTATAGAGCAAAAAATACGGTAAATAAATACATTGGAATTATTGGAAGCTTTGCAAGGATGATCCCCCTCATCCTTTGTCCACATTCAGAATACAATGTGCTTGTGGGATTGATGGAATTACTTGGTGTGTGTTTTCCCCTCTTAGATAATCGCAAGTTTATTTTCCTCTTGTTTTTCTGCGTGCGAAACTCAGGTCTTCAGGCCAGGCGATGCCAGTAGATGCATGTTCTGGCAGTACCAACAGAACAGTGACGATTCCAGCTGGAGAGAACCAGATCAACCAGATCGCTCTCAACCCAACAGGCACGTTTCTGTACGCGGCTGCAGGAAATGCAGTGAGAATGTGGGACCTGAAGAGGTAAAGCTTTCCAAAATACTTACTGAGCATGCGAAGATCCTGTGAAGCCCAGTGCGGCTGCAGCCAGTCCTCTCCTCATCCCCTGTTTGCCAACTGGCACATCCATGGCAATAGTCCATGGTAGGGAACAGCCTATAGGCTTTTGGGTCTATAGGCCCTCTCACGATCTGTTTGCATTGTGGGAACTGATGCTTTATGGCTTTCCCCCATACCTTTCTGCTTATACAAGAAGCCCTGGTCTGTGTCTATGCTAACAGGACCAGTGGTCAAGGATGATGGGAATTGTAGTCCAAAACATCTGGAGGGCCGAAGCTTGGGGATGCCTGCTGTAGATCGTTCTGCCCGGACACTGAGGTCCAGCGCCGAGGGCCTTCTGGCAGTTCCCTCCCTACGAGAAGTCAAGTTACAGGGAATCAAGCAGAGGGCCTTCTCGGTAGTGGCGCCCGCCCTGTGGAACGCCTTCCCACCAGATGTCAAAGAGAAAAATAACTACCAAACTTTTAGAAGACATCTGAAGGCAGCCCTGTTTAGGGAAGCTTTTAATGGTTAAAAGGTTATTGTATTTTAGTGTTTTGTTGGAAGCCACCCAGAGTGGCTGGGGAAAGCCAGCCAGATGGGCGGGGTATAAATAATAATAATAATAATAATAATAATAATATATTATTATTATTATTATTATTATTATTATTATTATAGATGAATGGTGATGCTAAAGTTGCCTGAGCAGCTCAGGGCCTTTCAAGTTTCCAGGAAGAGAGGTACCCTCACAAGAAAGAGCCACAGCATGGATTCATCCCACATAGACCAGGGCTTCTTGTATAAGCAGAAAGGGCTCTTCCCCAACCTTCAGCCCTCCAGATGTTTTGGACTACAATTCCCATCACCCCTGACCACTGGTCCTGTTATGGGAGTTGTAGGCCAGAACATCTGGAGGCCCGTAGGTTGAGGATGCCTGATCTACAGTGATGCCTAAGCCTTTCTGTGGAGTTGAAGCCTGCTAGCCTCCTATTTTTAACCATGATTTTTGGTGTGGAATGCCGCCCACCCTCAGAAGCGGGGTTGTACGTGGCTGATGGTGTCTAATATGAACTTAGCCAATGAAACAAACAGAGAAGAAAAATTAAGAGGTGCAAATAACACAAAGAATGGCACAAATTTGGGGGGGAAAGAAGTCATAAGTAGAATTCCCAACCTTATATTTACAGCTATTTCTGATCCGGTAGCATTCACCTGCCATCAAGAATGTCAGTAGGAGAAGATCAAAATACAGCGTTTAAACTACTCTGTCCAAAACTGGATATTCCTGCTGTTATTAATGTGGTGTTTCACTCCCACTTATACCCATATAATCTGCAGGGATCAAAGCCTGATTTCCAGTGAATTTCTGGAAAATGGGCAGGGGATATGCTTTCTTTTCCTTTGAAATAATTAAAGCTAAGTCACTTTGCTTGTTTCTGTCCATTTTTTTAGGTTCCAGTCTACAGGGAAACTAACTGGTCACCTGGGCCCTGTTATGTGCCTTACTGTAGACCGCATTTCCAATGGGCAAGATCTCATAATTACTGGCTCAAAGGATCACTATATCAAGGTATTGTCTCCTGCAACTTTACCACAGGAGTACTGCAAGAAGCTTCGAGAATAGGTTTCCATTTTCTTTGGTTCTTTCCCTGCAAGATGTGGAAATGCACTGCATTTTGACTCAGAACAATGCCTGAGGCTGCAATCCTATACCCACAACTAGGGGTAAACCACATTAAGTGCAGTGGAACATAAAGACACGTATAGGATGTCACTGCTGGTCTGTCTTTTTTTTTTCCTTTCCAGAAAAGGCTAGTCAAACTGACATTCTCACCTGTGCCTGGAAAAATATAAATTCAAAGTCAAAAAGTCTTTGTGAACTTCTAGGGTTTTTGTTTCGATGTCGGAGAATAAAATAATTGGATTAACTTTCACTCATTATTCAAGGAAACATACTATTTCCTCCAGGGAGTTTTAAGTTATTTCCTAAATATTAGTATGCATGTGGACTTACTAAGAGGTGAAAGTAACTTCTTTTCTCCCAGGTATTTGTGCTTAGGTTTGCAGCCTAATCTCAGGAATTGCTTTTATTCCCTTCTTTAAGAATTATTCCAAATGTTATTTCTGGCCTCTCTTTAGTATTGACATGAATACTTTATAATTTTTATGGTTCATAATTACCACATAGGCAAAAGGGTGTCAGATCTTCTAATCTTCCTATAGATACCTCTATAGGTTTTACAAACAATTATTTCTATTGATCATCTGGTGATAGTTAGCTGTTGAGGCTGTTGTGGTTATCAAATAAGAAGTTGACAGATCGTGTAGCAAAAAGGCCTCAAATTGTTTTCTGTGTAATAATCTGGTGTCCATTCTTTGCGATACTGTGATAGTGAGATGGGAAGAGATAGTAATGACAACATTTGTCCAAAAACCACACACCTGTCATTTGAGTTAAAGGGGGAAATTAAGTAAATCTGTGCTGGGTTATATATTTCAGATAAGGCATCATTTTTATTGAATTAGTTAATTATTAATATCAGTTCGTGGTTGGTGCTACTGCACTATTACAAATCCTTTGTAGACGTTTGTATAATACTACTGTGTTGAGTGGGTATTTATGTTTTGTCAATTCCTGACCAAGATTTATGTTGCAGATTTGAAATTGTTTTGCTCCTATTCCAGATGTTTGATGTAACTGAAGGAGCTCTGGGAACTGTAAGCCCTACACACAACTTTGAGCCTCCCCATTATGATGGCATAGAAGCGCTTACTATCATGGGAGACAACCTTTTTAGCGGATCCAGAGATAATGGAATTAAAAAGTGGGACTTGGCTCAAAAAGACCTCATCCAGGTATTGTTAAAAATAGGAACCTTGCAAAACAGAGCTGCCCCCAAACTGAAATTCTTCAGCTACTCCAAAATGAGGCTTGGAAATTTTGGAAGCCAAAAATAATAGTATTTGGGTCTAGAAAACTGATTTTAGAATCTGAAAAGGTTGGATTGAAAATTTTAGTTTGAATCAAAATCAGCTGGGCTTTTCTTCGCCTAAGCAGAAGATTGACAATGTGCAGCATGCTATCTGTTGATAGACCTTTATTTGTGGTCCTCAGACTTCTGGCAGAATTCTGGTAAAATTCCCAGCATCCATCTTAACTGGAAGTTCCTAACCTTCACAATTGCAGAGGATGTGTTTGATCATGCAGTAGAGAAATGCGGGAGTAGGAAATAGAACTTTGAAAGCACACACTCTAATTTCAATAGATTCTATATTGCCAACTTGCTCTGGAGTAAGCAAGCCATAGTTTTTTTAAGAAGTGGACTTAAGTCTTCCATGTTTGAGGACTGCAATTTAATCATGTGAATTGTCCTCTGCTTCATATTATCTGATGCATTTTTTCAGAGCTGAACTGCTTGCCTTTCCCCTCCTTACGGATGATGATGTTTCTCAACCTGATTTTGTGATATGTCTTTTCAGCAAGTTCCTAATGCCCACAAGGACTGGGTCTGTGCTCTTGGACTTGTGCCCGGTTCCCCCGTGCTTCTCAGCGGCTGCCGCGGGGGCATTCTGAAGCTCTGGAATGTAGATACATTTGCACCAATAAGCGAACTCAAGGGACACGACAGTCCCATCAATGCCATCTGCACCAATTCCGGCCAGATTTTTACTGCATCAGAGTGAGTTGTTTTTAATGTTCTTTGCACACGCTGCATAGCTGGAAAGAATTCTGAGCATTCCAGTTCTAATAATAATACAGTGGTACCTCGCAAGACGAACGCCTCGCAAGACGGAAAACCCGCTAGACGAAAGGGTTTTCCGTTTTGGAGGTGCTTCGCAAGACGAATTTCCCTATGGGCTTGCTTCGCAAGACGACAGCCCATAGGGAAATATCCGGGACAGCGGGGAAGCGCAGCGCATCTTCCCCACTGTCCTCGGACCTCCTCCGAAGCCTGGCGGCAGGCGGGAACACCACCTCCTGCCGCCGCCGGGCTTCGGAAGGCTCCTCCGAAGCCAGGCAGTGGGGCGGGAACGCCTCCTCCCGCCGCCGCCGGGCTTCGGAACGATGCTCCGAAGCCGGGCGGCGGGGCAGGAACGCCTCCCGCCGCCGCCCGGCTTCGGAACGATGCTCCGAAGCCGGGCAGCGGGGCGGGAACGCCTCCCCCCGCCGCCCAGCTTCGGAACGATGCTCCGAAGCCGGGCGGCGGGGCAGGAACACCTTCTGAAGGCGGGCGAAAGTCTTTGTTCCCCCCTGCCTGCCTTCCCGGGAGAGCGGAGAAACACAGCGCGTTTCTCCGCTGTCCCGGACGGCTTTTGAAGGCAGGCGGGGGGAGCAAAGACTTTCGCCCCCCGCCCACCTTCAGAAGAGGTCCTGGACCTCTTCTGAAGGCAGGCGGGGGGCGAAAGTCTTTGCTCCCCCCTGCCTGCCTTCCCGGGAGAGCGGAGAAACACGCTGTGTTTCTCCGCTGTCCCGGACGGCTTTTGAAGGCAGGCAGGGGGGAGCATAGACTTTCACCCCCCGCCCGCCTTCAGAAGAGGTCCAGGACCTCTTCTGAAGGCTGGCGGGGGGCAAAAGTCTTTGTCCCCCCTGCCTGCCTTCCCAGGGGCTTTTAAATCGCCCCGGACAGCGGAGAAGTCCTCCGCTGTCCCGGGGCGATTTTAAAATGCCGCCTGCCAGCATTTTAAGATTGCCCCGGACAGCGGAGAAGTCCTCCGCTGTCCCGGGGTTTTTTAAAATGCTGGGGGTGGGAAGAAAAGCCCTTGTCACCCCCCCAGCCTTCAGAAGAGGTCCGGGGACAGACTGTCCCCGGACCTGGTCTGAAGGCGGTTTCCCTAGGAACGCATTAATTGATTTTCAATGCATTCCTATGGGAAACCGTGCATCGCAAGACGAAAAACTCGCAAGACGAAGAGACTTGCGGAACGAATTAATTTCGTCTTGCGAGGCACCACTGTAATAATAATAATAATAATAATAATAATAATAATAATAATATATATATTATTTATACCCCGCCCTCCCTGGCCAGAGCTGGGTTCAGGGCATCTGACACCAGTAAAATTACAATAAAAACATAATGTGGGGGGGGGGCAATTTAAAATGCAGGTTAGAATGCTATTTAAAATGCAACCTCATTTTAAAAGTAGCCCATAGATCAAAACCGCAAGGGGAGGGAAACATAAGGGTCAGACTGAGTCCAAACCAAAGGCCAGGCGGAACAGCTCTGTCTTGAAGGCCCTGCGGAATGATGTCAAGTCCCGCAGGGCCCTAGTTTCTTGGGACAGAGCGTTCCACCAAGTCGGGGCCAGTACTGAAAAGGCCCTGGCCCTAGTTGAGACCAATCTAACCACCTTGTTACTTGGGACCTCCAAAGTGTTGTCATTTGTGGACCTTAAGGTCCTCCGTGGGGCATACCAGGAGAGGCAGTCCCGTAGGTACGTGGGTCCTAGGCTGCATAGGGCCTATGCTGGCAGTGAGTGATCTTCTTTGCTTTCCAGTACGTGCAGAAATTCAAAGGGTTTGTCTACATTGTGAACCACCAACTTAATTTTCTGCACATTTACGGTCATAGCTGGCAGAGGTTTAAACTGTGTTATATTTGAGCTGGTTGGGTTTGTTTAAAAAACAAACTAATGCAAAATGTTAATTGTTTTATATGGAGACATGTATTTTTATAGGATATTATGCTATAAGCTACTTGAAAGGGAAAAGCATAAAAATAGGTAAGTTTGTGACGTAGCTACTTGTTTGCAATTAGTGAGCCTTTGTTTGTCAAATGGAAGTGCTTTGATGTCATGCCATAATACTTAAGACAATGTATTAAAACACAGCCGTAGCATAATAGCTTATTAGGACTAGTGTAAATGTCAAGTTAGTAAGCAAGCTTTCAGCTATACTGGAGCTCTTCTGGAGCCTTATAATTCTGATCAGCTCAAAAGCTTGCTCACGACTATGTGACTTTTACTTGGTCCTTATAAATGTTAAGCGCTATTATTTTATTTGGGTCTTTATGCCTAGTGAACCATCAGAATCAATAAGGTCGGCGGTTCGAATCCCCATGACGGGGTGAGCTCCCATTGCTCAGTCCCTGCTCCTGCCAACCTAGCAGTTCGAAAGCACATCAAAGTGCAAGTAGATAAATAGGTACCGCTCCGGGGGGAAGGTAAATGGCATTTCCGTGTGGTGCTCTGGTTCGCCAGAAGCAGCTTAGTCATGCTAGCCACTTGACCCGGAAGCTGTACGCCGGCTCCCTCGGCCAATAAAGTGAGATGAGTTTCACAACCCCCGAGTTGGTCACGACTGGACCAAATAGTCAGGGGTCCCTTTACCTTTACCTTACTGTATATAAATGGGGAAATGGCTTTTCTCTGCTTCTTCCTTTTCCCACTTTACGCTAATAGATTCGGTTGCTTAAAAATATTTTGCAGCGATCGGACTGTGAGAATCTGGAAGGCTCCCTGCAGCTTCGATGGACAGATCTCCGATCCTGGTGATGCGAGCGAAGATGTGGCCAGTAATTAAAGATGAGCATTGCAGTGCTAGACTTCATAGGTACCTGCTTGCAGCTGGAGAGGAAGAAGAAGATGCAGCTCTTCTGTACCGTTTAAGTGTGTCGTATTCTGCTGAAACTGCTGCCCTTAAGAACTGCCTTCTGTACTGTATCTCAAACACTAGTCTGTTGGTGGTATGCTTGCCTCACATATAACGGCTGGATTTGTGTGCATTTATTAGCTTTGTAAGTTGAACAAACTGGAAGCCTTTCGCCCTGGAATGGTTGTCTCAAGACCTGTAACCTAGGATGTGAAAGTGCCCTGTGTACCTCACTCTCTGACCCCTTCTGTTCAGCTGAGCTTCACTTTATGGTTGTATGGAACGTGCCAGCATATCTCTTGTCTCATTTCCCAAGCCTTTAATGGAAGAGCAGCGGGGGTCCTAAAAAGTTTACTTATGTTTTGCTGCTGTAAGAAACTAAGACTGGAGTGTAAGGGAGGGCGGAGTCTTAGTTTGAGACGGATTACTGCCCTGACTGTGTCATGCTAACAATGAATGCCATACGACCCGCGTTAGTTGTTAGCATTATACTCTTGCTGACCAAAGTTGTGCAGCTGTGTCTACTCTGTGCTCAGGACTAGAAACTAAAATGCTGTCGAATTATTAACATTTTATTAGCGCTCTGCCTACCACAGTATTCTTACAGAAAAACCTTAATCTATTTTTCTTATGTTTCCATCATCTCACAATGTTTTATTTAAGAGGAAAAACAAGGTGTCCTTCCTTTTTAACATACTTTGATATGCTGCTAAATATATTTTAGATATGTTTGTTGAACCTTGGAGTTAGTTAAAAGAACGGTAGCAACTGTGTCAACAAAAGGCCGTGTGTAAATACATGGGGTGTAAAGAGAGACTATCTTAACAGTGTGCCTGTGTGGATTTTTTTAATTGCTGTAGATTTGAGTGTGGATATTGAACGAGAGGGTTGTATAATTTATCCAGCTTTTCGGAACATTCATTTGTAAATTCAGCAAGTTTTAGGAACAGTGTTTTATTGGGTTTGCTGTTGGGTAGAGGATATGAACTTGTAAATGTACGGCTTGTGATAGTTGATGCTTACATTAAAAAAAAAAAGACCCACACAATTGAATGTGAACACTTTCATTGCCGCTACCCTGTGCCATTCAGACTAAAAAGGGTGCTTTGTGGATTGCTTTGTTACTCTTTAATGGTCTTTGTTAATCCAAAGAGTGGTCATTAAGGGTCAAGGCTTCCCAGTGCCATTGTAACCCTGGTCATTATCTGAAGGTGGATGGCAGAGGGGAATACAAAGAAAATATCTGAAATCTCCACCTTTTTAAACGCGGAAACTTATTTTGAAATAAAATTAATAATACAGGCAACAAAAGGAAGAATGCATGTAGCAATCAGCTCACTGATTGCCATCTTTAGTATATCATAGGTAAGGATGTATGACAATTAAAGAAAAAGTAAAAAGCTGGTGACCTCTTGCTAGAGGAGGTATCAGTCAGAGATGCTTGAGGAGGGGGGGCATATGTGTCCCCCCCTTCACCTGGCTGAGAGGGAACAAAGGGAACTTGTGGCAGTCTTGGGACTGGAGTACAGAAGAGAAACAGACCTGTCTTGCTGTCTCCAGGAATCTAAAGCTATGGCATTGGGGAGGAAGATCTGTTGGAGTTTTAATGCTGTGAGCCCCGCCACCTGCCACTCGGTCTGCATACACGTCAGGGCGGGATTTAGGTTTGATGAGGCCCTAAACTACTGAAGGTAATGGGGCCCTTTATATGTCCAGCTGTCCTTTGCCATCAACAATTTGTCGCTGGTTTTTTGTGTTGAATGTGGCGCTGTGGGTTAAACCACAGAGCCTAGGACTTGCTGATCACAAGGTTGGCGGTTCGAATCCCCGCGACAGGGTGAGCTCGGTCCCTGCTCCTGCCAACCTAGCAGTTTGAAAGCACGTCAAAGTGCAAGTAGATAAATAGGTACCGCTCTGGCGGGAAGGTAAAAGGCATTTCCATGCACTGCTCTGGTTCGTGCACTGCTCTGGTGGGCCACATGACCCGGAAGCTGTCTGAGGACAAACGCCGGCTCCCTCGGCCAGTAAAGTGAGATGAGTGCCACAACCCCAGAGTCGGCCACGACAGGACCTAGTGGTCAGGGGTCCCTTTACCTTTATATGCTACGTGGTAATTTATGGACCTAATAGATAAAGCCATTTGCACATAACAAAATATGTATTTTATCAAAGTAATTGATATAGAAATGAGCAAACTAGTGATATTTTAGGGAGCAGGCTAGCAGACGGGGCCCATTAATTACATCATAGGAGCCTACACAACACAAAACACTGTTGCTGTATGTAGGTTTTATTTTATTTGTTTTTTTATCTTATATTTTGGAAATGTACATCCAGTTCCCCCCCCCCTTTAATTTTTTTGGGGCTCCCCAAGAGAGTGGGGCCCTAAACTATAGCTTGTTTAGCTTATACGTAAATCCGGCACTGATACACATATGCACAAACTTTGTATCGCCAAAACCACCATCTGTCTCCAGTGACTACCGAGGAAACCCAACCTACAGTACACATTGGGATCTCTGATTATTTCTCACAGCCTGAAAGTGGGGTTCCGAATTTGCCCAAATGGGCAACAGGGTGGTGACCAAACAGGGACCAAGGCTAAAACGTTTTTGGAATACATCAGCAGAAAGACCAGTGAGTACATTTCAGTTTATAAAAAATATAAGCATAATAATACCATAGAGAAATCGGCACATTATACATAAAAAGAATCCTGGGGAAAGGAGAAAGAACATTATATGTAAGTAATGACCACATGGCAAACAAAACAGGATATAAATATGCAAGCTTTAAACTTTGTTCAGCAGAAAAATGCACAACTTAACTATTACAAGCAGCAATTCTATCAGGAAAAGCAAGTAAGAATTTTAGCAATTAATTGACTCTAAATTGTGCCCTGGAACTTCTACCAGTCCATGCTAGTTCAAAGCTTTACTATGTAACAGTGATAAAGCAAATTTCCTTAAATATGAAGACTAGAAATTAAAAGGAATAGAGGAGGACTGAAAGGAAAAATCAAGATCTGGACAGTAAGGCCCAGAAGAGTCCAGAGGGAAGAAGAGGGGAGGAAAAACCAGAAAATAAAATGGTGAAGTTTCAGCACCACCAAGGAATAGACTATGTATTTGTGTATACAGGAAAGCTCAATCTCTTCAATATTGCTCATGAACCAAGGTTCTAGACCAGGCATGGCCAAACTTGGCCCTCCAGCTGTTTTGGGACTACAACTCCCATCATCCCTAGCTAACAGGACCAGTGGTCAGGGGTGATGGGAATTGTTGTCCCAAAGCAGCTGGAGGGCCATGTTTGGCCATGCCTGGTCTGGACCAAGGATTGGTTCAGAGGGAAATGGCTGCAAAGTGCTTCAACCTTGAAGAAGCAACACGTTCAAGGCAAGAAAACCCTTCTCTCAAAAAAGGAGACAAAAAGGCCCCAGAAGAAACAAAGAACTGCTGGATATCTTGGCACTAAGAAAACGAAGAAAAATAAGTGAGCTCTAGCACTTGAGGTGTAACCTCTTTTTCATCTCTCAACATCTCCAGATTCAATATTTTCTCTCACACTACTTTTTCTCTCACTCAAATCCAGTTCTGTATTGGTAAATGAAAAAGTCGGAGGCCGGCAGCTGTACAAACAGGTGTTGGTTTTGTTTTTTTAAAAAAAATAATAATTCAATTAATTATTTTTGGGGAGCGACATATTCCTTGATAAAGCTGAAAAGAGAATCCTGAAGGTCGTCAGAGCTGCCGGCAAATCTTGTATCGTCTTCACCCTGGTACACGATCTTAGTGCATGATCACGGCTCAGCTACAGCCTTGCCAGCCTTACTGTCCTCATGTTCCAGCGCAGGGTCACTCAGGGATGCTGGCTGTAGGGAATACTGTACATTGCACCTTCTTTTCACCGCAGTCCATTGTGGCATAGCTTGAGCGAGGCCTAGTCACCACAGGAATCATTTACCTATTTCCCCTTGCTTTTGTAATCCAGAGTTCCAGACCCAGAAAAACACACGCCCTCCCTCGCAACAGGAAACACTCAGACTGTTTATGAGCCACAGATTGAACGAAATATCCCTTCGGTTCCACAGCTCTGTAGGCCTTGTCTTCAGCACCTTTGAACCACAACCCCACCCTACAAAATAAGATGAAATCTATGCTGCTCAGAGATTGGGGTGCAGGTAACAGAATTAATGCAGGAGTAGATCACATATGGGACGCGGGTGGCGCTGTGGGTAAAAGCCTCAGCGCCTAGGACTTGCCGATCGAAAGGTCGCGGTTCGAATCCCCGCGGCGGGGTGCGCTCCCGTTGTTCGGTCCCAGCGCCTGCCAACCTAGCAGTTCGAAAGCACCCTCGGGTGCAAGTAGAGACCGCTTACTAGCGGGAAGGTAAACGGCGTTTCCGTGTGCGGCTCTGGCTCGCCAGAGCAGCGATGTCACGCTGGCCACGTGACCCGGAAGTGTCTCCGGACAGCGCTGGCCCCCGGCCTCTTGAGTGAGATGGGCGCACAACCCTAGAGTCTGTCAAGACTGGCCCGTACGGGCAGGGGTACCTTTACCTTTACCTAGATCACATATGAGACAAAGCAGCACTTCAAGTACCCAGGTAAGTGATGGAGTAGGCTTCTGGGACTAACGCCCCCCCCCCCAAAAATCTGTTGAGCCCTTCAAGCATTCTAGTCAAATACCCAAAAGCCCTCAGGGCTCCTCGCTTGTGGAATGCTCTCCCCAGGGAGACCCATGACCCCTTCATTACATAACTTTATCTTTTAGTCAAAAACATTTCTCTTCTTCCAGGCCTTTAGTTAATGAAACAATCTATGACCTTTTAAACTGTGTGGGGTGGGTATTGTTTTTGTTGTTATGGTATGTGTTTTTTTGTGTTCTTATATTGAGACCCCTGGGCATAGTAAAGGTAAAGGGACCCCTGACCATTAGGTCCAGTCGTGACTGACTCTGGGGTTGCGACGCTCATCTCACTTTATTGGCCGAGGGAGCCGGCATACAGCTTCCGGGTCATGTGGCCAGCATGACTAAGCTGTTTCTGGCGAACCAGAGCACCACACGGAAACACCGTTTACCTTCCCACCGGAGTGGTACCTATTTATCTACTTGCACTTTGATGTGCTTTCGAACTGCTAGGTTGGCAGGAGCAGGGACCGAGCAATGGGAGCTCACCCCGTCGCGGGGATTTGAACCGCCAATCTTCTGATCGGCAAGTCCTAGGCTCTGTGGTTTAACCCACAGTGACACCCTTTTACCCCTGGGCATAGGGTGGTATATAAACAACAACAACAACTGTCCTGTGACCTTTCCCCCCTCAATTTTTTTGAATTCATTTTATAACACAAATAAAAAACACAAAAATTCTTGCCGTATCCTTATTTTTCTAACCATTGTTAAGTGGGCTTCCCCAAGTCCCACCTATCTGATCTTCATTTTACTTTCATTTTACTTTAGCAGTTTACATATATCATAATTTCTAACCATCTTTTTTAAAAAAATCACACTTAAAATAACTTCACATTTTATCACTTACAAATAATACTATTTTATAATACCCTATCTTCTACTTCTAACCCTACAGCCTATATCTACTTCCAAAGGTATTCTAAGGTTTAAATATTAGCATATTTTTTCAAATATTCCTTAAACTTCTAGTCTTCTTCCACCATCTCCTCTCTCTGGTCTCGGAGTCTCCCGGTCAGTTCCGCAAGTTCCATATAGTCCATCATCTTCACCTGCCATTCTTCGATAGTTGGTAAATCTTGTTTCTTCCAATTCTTCGCTAACAATATTCTCGCATCTGTTGTGGCATACAGAAAAAAAGTAACACCCTTTTTGGGGATTTCAACCCCCCCACCCCACTATACCAAGTAAAAAGGCTTCTGGGTTTTTTAATAAATGTGTTTTTCAACACTTTTTTCAATTCATTATAAATCCTTTCCCAGAAGTCTCTTACCTTGGGGCACGTCCACAACATGTGGTAAAATGTTCCTTCTTTTTCTCTACATTTTCTAGCATTTATTATCATGAGTTTGATACATTT